GGCGCGTGCCTATAATCCCAGCTACTCAGGAGGCTGAGGCAGGAGAATTGCCTGAACCCAGGAGGCGGAGGTTGCAGTGAGCCGAGATCGTGCCATTGCACTCCAGCCTGGGTAACAAGAGCGAAACTCCGTCTCAAAAAAAAAAAAAAAAAAAAAAAAAAAAAAAAAAAAAAAACAGTAGTGGTAGCCGGGCGAGATGGCTCATGCCTGTAATCCCAGCACTTTGGGAGACGGAGGTGGGTGGATCTCTTAAACCCAGGAATTCGAGACCAGCCTGGGGAAAAACCAAGCTAAAACTTTTTACTCCTGATAGAAACTCTGTAAACATTGAAAGGGAACTGATGAAGTCAGCTGAAGTCACTGAAAGGGAATTAGCTGCCACAATGCCCAGGTAATTTTCGTTTTTTGTAAAGATGAGGTCTCACCACATTGGCCAGGTTAGTCTCAAACTCCTGGCCTCAAGTGATCTGCCCACCTCAGCCTCCCGAAGTGCTGGGATTACAGGCATGAGCCACCTCGCCTGGCCTGGTTTATAGTTTCTATTATGTTCAGATGATTGTCTCTCCTCTCCTTTACAGATTTCAATTATTTATATATTAGATTATTTGAAGTTGTCCCAAAGCTCATTCATGTTTTCTTTTTAAATTCTTTTTTCTCTGCAAGTTTTTCTCTGTGGTAGTTACTACTGCTGTGCCTTCAAGTTCACTAACCTTTTCTTCTGCAATGTCTGATTTGTCATTAATCCCATCCAGCGTCTTCTTTAGAAGAAAATCTCATTGTAGGCTGGGTGCCATGCCTCATGCCTATAATCCCAGCACTTTGGGAGGCCGAGGTGGGAGGATTATTCGAGGTCAGGGATTTGAAACCAGCCTGGCCAACAAGGTGAAACCTTCTCTCTACTAAAAATACAAAAATTAGCCGGGCATGGTGGCAAGATCTGTAATCCCAGCGACCTGGGAGGCTGAGGCAGGAGAATCACTTGAGTTTGGCAGAGGATGCAGTGAGCCAAGATTGCACCACTGCACTCCAGCCTAGGCAACAGAGCGAGACTCTGCAAAAAACAAAACACACACACACAGCAGAATCTGGGCAAAGTTAAGAGCTGACGGAGGTATGTGAAGGAATGCTGTGGGGTTTGGAAAGAATAAAAGATGCTTCCAAGGCTTCTGGCCTGAGTAACTGGAGGAATGGAGTTTCATTCACTGAGATGGCAAAGATAGCAGGAGGAAGTGTGGGGAGCGTGAGACATGTTCTTCTTGAGATGTCTATTCATTCTCCAAGAGAAAAACAATTTTTTCTTACCGAGTCACTGTACAAGTGAAGATTTCGAAGCAGGCAGTTGGCTATATAGATGTGGAGTTTACAGGAATGGTCTGGGCTGGAGAGAAATATTTGGGGGTCATGCAAATGTAACCCTACAATGTTTTTAAGGCTCTAAGACTGGAGGAAATTCATCTAAAGAGTGAGAGCAAGGCTGGGCGCGGTGGCTCAAGCCTGTAATCCCAGCACTTTGGGAGGCCGAGGCGGGTGGATCAAGAGGTCAAGAGATCGAGACCATTCTGGTCAACATGGTGAAACCCCGTCTCTACTAAAAATACAAAAAATTAGCTGGGCATGGTGGCACGTGCCTGTAATCCCAGCTACTCAGGAGGCTGAGGCAGGAGAATTGCCTGAACCCAGGAGGCGAAGGTTGCGGTGAGCCGAGATCGTGCCATTGCACTCCAGCCTGGGTAACAAGAGCGAAACTCCGTCTCAAAAAAGAGAGCAGACAGCAGAGATCCAGCACTGACTCTTGGGAGCTGTACTATGTAAAGACTGGGACAAAGAGAAGGACCAACAGCAGCCAGAATATCCAGCAATGTTTCAACAAGGACGGACTGGGTCGGGCACAGGGCTGCACACCTGTCATCCCAGCACTTTGGGAGCAGAGACGGAGGATCGCATGAGCCCAAGAGTTTGAGATCAGCCTGGCAGCACAGTGAGACCTCCGTCTCTAGGGGAAAAAAAAAAAAATTTTAACTAGCTGGGCATGCTGGCACGTGCCTGTAGTCCCAACTACTCAGGGGGACTGAGGTGGGAGGATTTCTTGAGCTGCGACCACAGATCAAGATCCTGTCTTAAAAGAAAAAAAAAAGATTTAAAATATGAAGCAGGCTGGGTGCACTGGCTCACGAGTGTAACGCCAGCAATTTGGGAAGTAAGGCACGAGGATCCCTTGAGCCCAGGAGCTTGAGACCAGCCTGGGCAACACAGCAAGATCCCAGTCTCCACAATTTTCTAAAAAATTAGTCAGGTGTGGAGGTGAACGCCTGTTAGTCCCAGCTACTCAGGAACTTGACGTGGGAGGATCACTTGAGCCTAGAGTAGAAGACTAGCCTGGGGAACACAGACTCTGTCCCTACAAATATTTAAAAATTAGCCACTGCAAGGCCGGGCGCGGTGGCTCAAGCCTGTAATCCCAGCACTTTGGGAGGCTGAGGAGGGTGGATCACGAGGTCAAGAGATCGAGACCATCCTGGTCAACATGGTGAAACCCCGTCTCTACTAAAAAAAATACAAAAAATTAGCTGGGCATGGTGGCGCGTGCCTGTAATCCCAGCTACTCAGGAGGCTGAGGCAGGAGAATTGCTTGAACCCAGGAGGCGGAGGTTGCGGTGAGCCGAGATCGCGCCATTGCACTCCAGCCTGGGTAACAAGAGCGAAACTGCGTCTCAAAAAAAAAAAAAAGAAGAAGAAGAAATAAATTAGCCACTGCAATCTCAGCACGTTGGAAGGCCAAGGCAGGAGAATCGCTTGAGCCCGAAGTTTGAATCTGCAGTGAGCTATTATGATACCACTGCACTCCAGCCTGGACAACAGAGACTGTGTCTCAAAAAACGTCAATTCTGAGCCACAAGTAAATGACTTATCTTATTCTTTTTGGGGGATATTTAAAAATAAGTATGCGGCCAAATGCGGTGGCTCACACCTGTAATCCCAGCACTTTGGGAGGCAGAGGTGGCCGGATCACCCGAGTTTAGGACTTTGAGAGCAGCCTGGCCAACATGGTGAAACCCCGTCTCTACTAAAAATACAAAATTAGCCGGGCGTGGTGGCGGCGCAGGCCTGTAATCCCAGCTACTCGGGAGGCTGAGGCAGGTGAATCGGTTGAACCCAGGAGGCAGAGGATGCAATGAGATGAAATTGAGACACTGCACTCCAGTCTGGGAGACAAGAATGAAATTCCATCTAAGAAATAATAATATACATGTAATTATAATTTAGACTACCATAATGTTCGACTATGCGCATGATTAGCTGGTGATCCCGACCCTATCAGAAAGGCTCAGGGCAGGATGTTGCAGGTTATCACAAACAATTCGAGGACTTTGAGGCCCAGATTCACTGGTCATTCCAGTGGTGACCCAACTGCTTTGTAACTACGAATTGCAATCACGCAAAAGAAAAAAATTAAAAAAAGGCTGGACACGGTGGCCGCGCCGGCGACCCATCCCCAAACCCCACCCGGCGATGGCCGAGCGGGCGACCGCGCGCCTCCGAGCAGCGGCACGGTGCGGCTCCATTGGATTCGCCAGCACCGGAAACGGCGACTCCCACTTGGGGCGCTGCGGACACACGAGTCGAGGCTGCGTTCCAGGAAGCAAACAAAAAAAGGGGGGAAAATAAGGGGGGGAAAGAAAGAGAAAAAAGAGGGCGCGTGGCGAGCAGGGGCCTCGGCCGCCGCCCACACGCCCCGCCGCGTGCTCGTCCCCGGCGCGCTCCTCCCGGCCACCGCCCCCGGCCATCGGCCGCCCCGCGCTGGTCCAGGCCTCGGACTCCGCGGCCGGCCCGGCGCCCTCAGGTGCGTACCCCGCCCCCGCCGCTGCCGCCGCCGCCGCCGCCGCCGCCATTAGGGGCGGGTTGCCTTTCTCGGAACGTCCTCCTCCCGGGGACCTGGGGAAGGGAGGCCGCCCGGCCGCAGCGGGAGGCGGTCCCCTGGAACACCCCGGCGCCCCGAGGCGGGCCCCCCCGGCGAACCCCGGTCCCAGCGGGCAGGACCAGAGGCGTGAGGGTGGGGGCGGGGAAGCCTTGCCGCGGGGGGCAGCGGTCGTACGCACGCAGTGCGCATCCCTCTCCTTCCTGATTGGCCGAGCGGAGGCGTGCGTGGGGTCACGCTCCGCCCGGCGTACGTGGGGGCGCTCGCGCTGCGTGCGGACTCACTTGATTGGTTGGACGAGGGGGCGGGGTCGCCGCTGTTGCCAGGGCTCCGCGCCCGGATCCGCCCCCTCACGTCACGCGGTGCGGAGAGGCCCACGTTGTGGGTTTTGTCCTGGTCCTCGCGACGGCCACGGGGGATCGGATCTGTTTGTTGGCGGAAAACCAATCCAGACTCCCGAGGAAAAAGGCCGGGGCCCGGGAATGGCCCGTTGTCATTCTGGTTTCGAGTTCGAGGTGGAAAAGGGATCGCAGGGTTGTGTTCACCCCTCAAGCCCAAGCTTTCTTGTTTCTTAGTAACAGCTTCTTTGAGATCTATTGTAAAACTCACCTTTTAAGACTGAATAATTCCCTGCACAGAGTTGTGCAAACTTTGCCGCTAATTGCAGAACGTTTTCAGCACCCGAGAAGAAACTGCAACCCAATTAGGCGGTCATTCCCTGGTCCCCACCCGGTCCCCACACCCGGCCCCTGGCGATCTCTTTTGTCTCCATGCATTTGCCTAATCTGGACTTTTCGTGTGGATAGACTCATCCCCAGACGTTTTTTGTGCGCCTGGCATCTTTCCTTCTTTATGGCTGAATAAAAATCCATGCTATGAATACACGGCATTTTGATTTTCCATCCATTGATGGCTAGTTGGGAGATTTCCACCTTTTGGCTGTTTTGAATAATGCTGCTATGAACACTGGTGTACACGTTTTTGTGCGGACATTTGTTTTCAATTCTCATAGGTGTATACCAAGGACTGGAATTGCTGGGCCACGCTTTGTGTTTTGAGGAAAAAAAAAAAAATCATGTTTTAGTTTCGTGCTGGTAATTTGAAGTAAGCAGATGTCTAGATATAAGCTTGGAAAGTGGCCAGTTGGATATTGCTCACGGCTGCAGCTGAAGACTCCAGCAGCCTTTTCCCCTCTTTGCTTCCATTTGGAGAGGAAGCCGTCAGCGGCTGTGTGACTTCAGTAGACGTGGGGCTTGGCCCCGGCTTGCAGCTGGGATCAGTCTTCAGTGGCGATTTGGAGTGGGTCACAGTTCTTCCTGCCTGCCTGTCTGCTTGTTTAGTCTCTGATGTCTGGTCCCCAGGGCCCTGGCTCTTCCCCCACGCCTTCAGCCTGCACAGTCCCTTCTCTCATTCTCAGGCTGCAGAACCTGGAAGTACAGTTGTTCCCTTCTTACCCGCTGTTTCAGTTACCTGAGGTCAACCATGGCCTGAAAATATTACTTGGAAAATTCCAGAAATAAACAATTCATAAGTTTTAAATTGCACGCTGTGATGAAACCTCGCGCTGTGCAGCCTGGGCAGTGAATCGTCCCCTTTGTTCAGCGTCCCCACGCTGTGGACGCTCCCCAACCATAGTCACTTAGTAGCTGGCTCGGTTATCAGATCGACCGTCACAGTGTCCCAGTGCAAGTCACCCTTATTTTCCACCATCATGGCCCCAAAGCGCAAGAGAATCGATGCTGGCAATTTGACTAGACCAAAGAGAAGCCGGAAGGTGCTTCCTCTAAGTGAAAAGGTGAAAGTTCTCGACTTGATCAGGAAAGAAAAAAAATCCTACGCTGAGGTTGCTAAGATCTACGGAAAGAATGAATCTTCCATCCGTGAAATTGTGAAGAAGGAAAAGGAAATCCGTGCTAGTTTTGCTGTCTCACCTCCAACTGCTAAAGTGACGGCCACCGTGCGTGACAAGTGCTTAGTCAGGATGGAACAGGCGCTGCATTTGTGGGTGGAAGAGATGAACAGAAAACGTGTTCCGATTGACAGCAACGTGTTGCGCCGGAAAGCGCTGAGCCTATACCAGGACTTCAGCAAGGGACGCCCTGAAACTGACCCCAAGCCATTTACTGCGAGTAAGGGATGGTTACACAGATTCAGGCATAGATTCTCACACCATTACAAGAACAAGAAGAAGGGTGAGTATATTACAACAAGTTATCTTGAGAAAGGGAGAGATCAGGAGATCACAGTCACATAACATTACAGTACTCGATATACTTATTCTAGCTTATTGCTGTTAATTTCTTACTGTGGCTAATTTATAAGTCGAAATTCATCGTAGGTACGTATGTACAGGTTGACCATCTCTAATCTAAAAACTAAAATTTTAAATGTTCCAAAATCCAAAACTTACTGAATGCCGACCTGATGCGAATTGAAAATTCCATACCTGACACCTTTGCTTTTTTTTTTTTTTTTTTTTTTTGAGACAGGGTCTCACCCTGTCACCCAGGCTCTAGTACAGTGATTGATCTCTGCTAACTCCAAGCTCTGCCTCCTGGATTCAAGTGACTCTCCTGCCTCAGCCTTCTGAGGAGCTGGGATTACAGGTGCACACCACCACGCCCCACTAATTTTTATGTTTTTAATAGAGAGAGTGTTTCACCATGTTGGCCGGGCTGGTCTCTAACTCTTGATCTCAGGTGATCCACCCATCTCAGCCTCCCAAAGTGTTGGGATTACAGGCATGAGCCACTGAGCCTGGCTGTCCTCCGTTTTTTTCTCTTGAGACAGAGTCTTGCTCTGTTGCCCAGGGTCTCACCCTTTTGAAATGGTGGGATCATAGCTCACTGGAGCCTCAACCTCCTGGGCTCAGGCAGTCCTCCCATCTCAGCCTCCTGAGTAGCTGGGACCACAGGCATGCACCCCCACGCCTGGCTAATTTTTAATTTTTTTGTAGAGGTGAGATCCCATTATGTTGCCGGGCTGGTCCCACTAGGTTGCCTGAACTGGCCAACGTGGTGAAACCCCGTCTCTACTAAAAATACAAAAATTAGCTAGACGTGGCATGCACCTGTAATCCCAGCTACTTGGGAGGCTGAGGCAGGAAAATTGCTTGAACCCAGGAGGCATAGGTTGCCGTGAGCCAACATTGCACCACTGCACTCCAGTCTGGGCGACAGAGTGAAATCCCATCTCAAAAAAAGAAAAACAACATAATAGATTTAGGGTTTGGCACTATCCGCAGTTCCAGGCATCCACTGGGGGTCTCGGAAGAGTCTGCTACAGACAAGGGGGAGACTCCTGGTTCATCGTGTCTCTCATCCCTCCCACTTGATCAGTCTGCATTCCTACATGCCTGGGCCATTTTATGCATGTCTGGCTTCTTTTACCGTATTGCCTGTGATTCTGCCTCATGCAGGCAGGGTCTTTCTCACTTGAGAGCAGGAGTTAGATTCTGTTCACCTTTGTTTCCCCTCCACTCCCTGCCAGCAGTATACATTTTTTTTTTTTTTTTTGAGACAGAGTCTTGCTGTGTCGCCCAGACTAGAGTGCAGTGGCGCAATCACGGCTCACTGCAAGCAACCTCCGCCTCCTTGGTTGAAGGGATTCTCCTGCCTCAGCCTCTTGAGTAGCTGGGATCACAGGTATGCGCCGCCATGCCCAGCTAATTTTTTTTTTGTACTTTGAGATGGAGTCTCACTCTGTCACCCAGGCTGAAGTGCAGTGGCACGATCTCGGCTCACTGCCACCTCTGCCTCCTGGATTCAAGAGATTCTCCTGCCTTAGCCTCCTGAGTAGCTGGGATTACAGGTGCCCACCACCATGCCTGTCTTTTTTTTTTTTTTTTTTTTTTTTAAATGTTGTGTTTTTAGTAGAGACAGGGCTTAATCATGTTGGCCATACTGGTCTTGAAGTCCTGACCTCAGGTAATCTGCCTGCCTTGGCCTCCCAGAGTGCTGGGATTACAGGCATGAGCCACTGCACCTGGCCAGTAGTATATATTTTTACATCACAGATGCTCAATATGTTTTTGTTGAATAGTGAAACAGTGTATGCTTGAGTTGAAACAGTGTACACAGCTGAGCTGTGAAGAAGGTAGAATTTATTAATTAAAATCAAGCCCTGGGGCTGGGTATAGTGGCTTACGCCTGTAATCCCAGCACTTTGGGAGGCTGAGGTGGGAGGATCGCTTGAGCCCAGGAGTTCAAGACTGGCCTGGGCACCATGACAAAATTCTGTCTCTACAAAAAAAAAAAAAAAAAAAAAAAAATTAGCTGGGTACAGTGGTGTGCGCCTGTGTTCCCAGCTACTTGGGAGACTGAGGTGGGAGGCTCACTTGAGCCCGGGAGTTCCACGCTGCAGGGAGCTGTGATCATGCCACTACACTTCAGTGTGGGTGACAGCAAGAGCCTATCTCAAAAGCAAAAAGCAAAACGAAACAAAAAACAAACTCCAGGTCTGGGCACAGTGTCTCATTCCTGTAATTCCAGCACTTTGGGAGGCTGAGGCAGAAGGATTGTTTCAGCCTAGGAGTTCAAGACCAGCCTGGCAACAGTAAAACCTTGTCTCTACAAAAAAACAAAATAAAATTAGCCGGGTATGGTATTGCACTACTGCACTTCAATCTGGAGGGTAGAGTGAGACTCTGTCTCAAAATCCAAACAAAACAAAAACTCTAAGCCCTTTAAAACCTGAAAAATTAACCTTGGAAAGGAAAATCTAGAAACAGTTTTTAAAAATAACCAGGCCTCTATTTCAAGATTTCAGAGTTTTCTGAAAGGGAGTTGAAGACATTCCAAATGATGACAGGTTGTAACGGATAGACACAGATTCTAGATCAAAGATGGGCAAACTTTGTACGGTAGTAAATATTTTCGGCTTTGGGGATGTGGAGTCTTTGTCACTTGCATGCAAACCTTCCTTTGCAGGAAAGCAGCTGTAAACAGGACGTAAACGAGGGTGACTGTGTTCCAGCAAAGCTTAATTCACGAAAACTCGGCTGCAGTCTGGATTTGACCTGTAGGCTGTGTCCTGCATATTTGCTTTTCATTAGTAAAATATTACATTAGAAGGACAGAAAGTCCTTCAGGATTGCTAGGAAAACAAACTGAGATTTGGAAGTTTTTGGAGTCTACGGTTTTTGAAGAGCAAAAAGGGCCAGGTGCGCTGGCTCGCACCTGTAATCCCAGCACTTTGGGAGGCCAAGGTGGGCGGATCACCATAGGTCAAGCATTCAAGACCAGCCTGGCCAACATGGTGAAACCCTGTCTCTACTAAAAATACAAAAGTTAGCCGGATGTGGTGCGCGCCTGTAATCCCAGCTACTCAAGAGGTTGAGGTTGCATTGAGCTGAGATTGTACCACTGCACTCCATCCTGGGCCACAGAGCAAGACTCCATCTCAAAATAAAATAAAACAGCAAAAAGTGAAGTACTATATAAAAATCTGTCATCTCAATAAATGGTGCTGGCACTTCAGATGCGAGTAGAAAAAAGGATTAATAACTCTATCGGCTTTGGGAGATTTTATTATGTGGTGCAAGCTGTTACGGTCAAGGAGTTTGAGCTTTATTAGAGTGTATTGAAATTTTCTCAGGAAAATGTTCTTAGGATGGGAACACTATGTTGGCTTATAGTCATGTTTCATTATTTTCAGTTTTCTATTAATGCATGCTGTGTTCCAAATCATAGAATATAAAAGACAGCATTCCTGCCTCCGTTTGTTATTATATACAAAATGTAAAGAAAGTACAATGATTATGAAACACCCCAGTGCGGTGGGACACACCTGTAATCTCAGGACTTTGGGAGGATGAGGCAGGCATTTCACTTAAGTCCAGGAGTTCGAGACCAGCCTGTGCAACATGGCAAAACCCCCTCTCTACAAAAAATATAAAAATTAGCTGAACGTGATGGGGCATGTCTGGGATTCCAGCTACTCAGGAGGCTGAGGTGGGAGGATCACCCCAGGAAGGCAGACGCTGCCGTGAGCTGTGATTGCACCACTGCATTCCAGCCTGGGTGACAGAGTGAGACCCTGGCTCAAAAGCTGATAATAATTATTATGAAACACTTGTTTTTAAATGATTGCTGGTAGCAGAGTTGATGCCAACTGATAGTATCTTTTTTTTTTTTAATTCCACCTAATATCATCCTGCCTATTATATTATTCTTTGGCTTTTTAAATTTTTTAGTTTGTATTTTTGTTGGTTTGTGTTATTTTTATTTTCTTTTTTGTTAAAAAGCAGACTTTTGACATCACAGCTGCTAGGGATTACTGTGGTATAATATTCTGGGGTGATGGAACTGTTTTATACCTTGATTTTAACGGTACCTATATGACTTTATATATGTCAAAATTCATAGGGGCCGAGGGCGTGGCTCAATCCTGTAATCCCAACACTTTGGGAGGCCGAAGTGGCAGATCATCTGACGTCAGGAGTTCGAGACCAGCCTCGGCAACATGATGAAGCCTCCTATTAAAAAAAAAAGTACAAACGATGATCCAGGCAATGTGGCACACACCTCTGGTCCCAACTACTCAGGAGGCTGAGGCAGGAGGATTGCGTGAGCCCAGGATGGCGAGGGTGCAATGATCTGAGAGTGCGATGCTGCACTCCAGCCTGGGTGACAGAGTGAGACCCCGTCTCAAAGAAAAAAAATCATAGAACTATACACTGGAAAGGGTGAACTTTGCTATATAAAAATTATGCTTGAGCCGGACATGGTGACTCACGCCTGTAATCCCAGCACTTTGGGAGGCCAAGGTAGGCGGATCACAAGGTCAAGAGATGGAGACCATCCTGGCCAACATGGTGAAACCCCGTCTCTACTAAAAATACAAATATTAGTTGGGCGTGGTGGCATGTGCCTGTAATCCCAGCTACTCAGGAGGCTGACGCAGGAGAATTGCTTGAACCCGGGAGGCGGAGGTTGCAGTGAGCGGAGATTGCACCACTGCACTCCAGCCTGGCGCCTGGCAACAGAGTGAGACTCTGTCTCAAAAAAAAAAAATTATGCATGAATATTAAAACATTTGTGGCTGACTCTGGGCACACTGCCTATGGATCAGCCATGCGCCACAGGGTTCAGAAAAAAAAAGTAAAGTGATGCAAACAAGCATTTCAACTTTATAATCAAAGAAATGAAACATCTCCTCATGTAGTCTAGTTTACAAAAGGTAAAAAATTTTTATTTAAGGCCAAGCGTAGTGGCTCATGCCTGTAATCCCAGCACTTTGGGAGTCCAAGGTGGGTGGATCACCTGAAGGTCAGGAGTTCAAGACCAGCCTGGCCAACATGGTAAAACCCTGTCTCTACTAAAAATACAAAAAATTAGCCAGATGTGGTGGCAGGTGCCTGTAATCCTAGCTACTTGGGAGGCTGAAGCAGGAGAACTGCTTGAACCTGGGAGGCAGAGGTTGCAGTGAGCTGAGATCATGCCACTTTACTCAAGCCTAGGTGACAGAGTGAGACTCTGTCTCAAAAATAAAAATAAAGTGGTTTCGGCCGGGCGCGGTGGCTCAAGTCTGTAATCCCAGCACTTTGGGAGGCCGAGGCGGGTGGATCATGAGGTCAAGAGATCGAGACCATCCCGGTCAACATGGTGAAACCCTGTCTCTACTAAAAATACAAAAAATTAGCTGGGCATGGTGGTGCGTGCCTGTAATTCCAGCTACTCAGGAGGCTGAGGCAGGAGAATTGCCTGAACCCAGGAGGCGGAGGCTGCGGTGAGCCGAGATCGTGCCATTGCACTCCAGCCTGGGTAACAAGAGCGAAACTCCGTCTCAAAAAAAAATAATAAAATAAAAATAAAAATAAATAAAGTGGTTTCTTAAAATATATTCACAGAGTTGTATAACGATCATCACAAATTGTGAATATTTTTATCACTCTGAAAAGAAACCTACCTTTTGCTGTCAACCCTAAACATCTAGTAATCTACACTTAGTTCCTATAGATATCCCTACTCTAGAAATTAAATATGAATGGAATTACATAATATGTGATTCCTTTGGATTTTAAGTTGAGGGGATTCATAAAAGGTCAGAAGTGAAAGAAATGTTCATAGGAAGTAGTTCATTGAGCCAGGTGCAGTGACTTACAGCTGTAATCCCAGTGACTCAGGAGGCTGAGGTGGGAGGATGGCTTGAGTCCACGAGGTGGAGGCCGCAGTGAACTATGATCGAGTCATTGCACTCCAGCCTGGGTGACAGTGTGAGACTCTGACTTTTAAAAAAGCAGAGGCCGGGCACAGTGGCTCAAGCCTGTGATTACAGCCCTTTGGGAAGCTGAAGCGGGCAGATCACCTGTCAGGAGTTTGAGACCAGCCTGGCCAACATGGTGAAACCTTGTCTCTACTAAAAATACAAAAATTAGCCAGTTGTGGTGGTGGGTACCTGTAATCCCAGCTACTAGGGAGGCTGAGACAGGAGAATCGCTTGAACCCAGGAGGTGAGCCAAGATCAAGCCATTGCAATCCAGCCTGGGCAACAAGAGGGAAACTCCATCTAAATAAATAAATAAATAAGCAGACCAGGCGCAGTGGCTCATTCCTGTAATCCCAGGGCTTTGGGAAGCCGAGGCAGGTAGATCACTTGAGGTCAGGAGTTCGAGAACAGCCTGGACAACATTGTGAAACCCCGTCTCTACTAAAAGTACAAAAAATTTCCCGGGTGTGTTGGAGGGTACCTGTTGTCCCAGCTACTCGGGAGGCTGAGGCAGGAGAATCGCTCGAACCCAGGAGGCGGAGGTTGCGGTGAGCCGAGATCGCGCCATGGCACTCCAGCCTGGGTTGTAGAGCGGAACTCCATCTCAAAAAAAAAAAAAAAAAAAAAAGCAGTTGATTTTGTATCTTCTTCAACAGACAAGGTGCCAGAGTCCAGCCCGCGGCTCTCGTGGCGTTCAGTCCCGTGGGGACCAGCGCATCGGGTGCGTCCTAAGCTGACGTCACCTGCCTGGCCCGGTGCCGCCTCTGGTGTTCATTGTTAACGCCACCTCCTGATGGCAGTTTCTTTCTGGGAGAAGAGGAGAGAAGAGAGGGAGCCATCGCCATGGGCAGGGTGCGCGGAAGGCTCCACGTGTAGTCTGCACTAAGGCCCGTCCGGGAAGTCACCTTTGGACGCGCACGGAGCAGCGAACTTCCGGTGTGACCCGGATGCACTTGTTTCCGAGGAGGACACCCGGAGAAGGCGGGTGGGTCGCCGCCTCCAGGGGCTTTTCATCCTGCAGGGCTCGCTGCCCGCCCTGACGGTTCTGACGATGACATAGGACCTTCGTCACCTGGGGCGCCTCCTGGGCTGTTGCTGTGGCGTCTCCTGGATTACTCTGTAATCCAGAGTAGCTGGGATTACAGACGCGCGCCATTTTTAGTATTTTTAGTAGAGAAGTGGCCTCACCATGTTGGTCAGTCTGGTCTCAAACTCCTGACCTCAAGCGATCCGCGCGCCTCGGCCTCCCAACGTGCTAGGATTACAGGCAGGAGCCACCGCGCCGGCCCCATTTCTTTCTTTCCTTTTTTTTTTTTGAGATGGAGTTTCGTTCTTGTTGCCCAGGCTGGAGTGCAGTGGTAGAATCTCAGCTCACCGCAACCTCTGGCTCCCGGTTCAAGTGATTTCTCCTGCCTCAGCCTCCGGAGTAGCCAGGACTACAGGCCTGTGCCACCACGCCTGGCTAATTTTTTGTATTTTTAGTAGAGACAGGGTTTCACCGTGTTAGCCAGGATAGTCTCGATCTCCTGACTTCGTGATCTGCCCGCTTTGGCCTCCCAAAGTGCTGGGATTACAGGCGTGAGCCACTGCGCCTGGCCCCGTTTCTTAATACACATTGTGTATGATGACATCATAGATCAATGGCAATTTAAGGTGTGAAGAAGTGGAAATAGCACTAGACAGAAATTGTCCTGGTGTATGTTCTAGCTTTGCTTGGATACCTTGCTAAGTTGTAAAATGAGAATGCTTTTACACCCCTTTCTCTCCTGGGAATACTAAAGACAAAATAAGATTATCAATGGAAATTCTCTGAACTTCCAAAATAATAAGGATGGAGCGTCATCTAAGGGAGTGTTCTGGTTAATGGAAACGTAACACGCCTTTGCTGTTACATACTCTTTGATGTGCATTAGCTTGGTAAGAGTACCGAGTGATAATTGTGGAATCTAGAATGTTCAGGAAAATACCTTCTAGGACCTATGCGTCTCCTGGCTGGATGCTGCTTTTTCTACTCCTGATCTTAGCCAAAAAGCAGAGAGGCGATTGAGGCTGCTTTTTCTGACTCCAGCTCTGTTGGTAAAACAGGGTCTTTGGTATGAAAAACAATCTTGGCTGGGCGAGGTGGCTAACGCCTGTAATCCCAACACTGTGGGAGGCGGAAGCAGGCAGATCACTTGAGCCCAGGAGGTGGAGAGCAGCCTGGGCAACATAGTGAAACCCCGTCTCTACTAAAAATGCAAAAATGAGCGAGGTGTAGTGGCATGCACCTGTAGTCCCAGCCACTTTGGTGCTGAGATGGGAGGATCAACTGAGCCCAGAAGGTTGAGGCTACAGTGAGCCATGATCACATCCCAACCTGGGTGACAGAGCAAGATCCTGTCTCAAAATAAAATAAAAGTTGGCATTACCATTCAGGAGCTCGTGGGCAAGTCACTAAATGCCTTTACATTTCCGTTTCTGCACCTCTAGAGGAAGGTTTGAACGAGATCTCTTGTGAACACCCTCACAGCTCTGAATGTGGGTTTCAGACTCTGAATTTTTAATATTTCCTTATTGCTTCTCTTGTACAGGGATCATGGCCCAGGTAGCAGTGTCTACTCTGCCCGTTGAAGAAGAGCCCTCTTCAGAGAGCAGGATGGTGGTGACATTCCTCGTGTCTGCCCTTGAGTCCATGGTGAGACAGCCTGACACTTGTCCAACATTCCACAGATGGATTGTTGTCGAGAATCACGAAACACTTCAGCATCCCTTTTATTTTTGAGAAGGAATCTTACCCTGTCACCCAGGATGGAGTGCAGTGGCGCGAGCTCGGCTCACGGCAACTTCTGTCTCCTGGGTTCAAGCAATTCTCCTGCCTCAGCCTCCCGAGTAGCTGGGATTGTAGGCATGCACCACCATGCCCGGCTAATTTTTGTATTTTTAATAGAGACAGGGTTTTACCATATCAGCCACTCTGGTCTCAAACTCCTGCCCTCAGCTGATCTGCCTACCTTGGCCTCCCAAAGTGCTGGGATTGCAGGCCTTAGCCACTGTACCCAGCTGCTTCAGTATCACTTTTGATGTTTGCCTTCTGCCTGACATCTATATAAGGGTAACCTTTATAGAGGATAATGGGCTTTTCAGATTATTTATATATTTGTTTATTACATTATGGATGCAATTATGTGAACTCAGGCTTCCCAGATCTGAAATGTAATGAATGGTAACCTATTTTACCATGTTTGAGAAAATTTTTTAAAACCTAAATTCAGAAGTAAATAGGCCAGGCGCAGTGGCTCATGCCTGTAATCCCAGCACTTTGGGAGGCCAAGGCACACTGATGACTAGAGGTCAGGAGTTCAGGACCAGCCTGGCCAGCATGCTGAAATCCCATCTCTACTAAACATACCAAAATTAGCTGGGCATGGTGGCGCATGCCGGCAGTGTTAGCTACTTGGGAGGCTGAGGCGAGAGGATCGCCTGAGCCGAGGAGGTTGGGGCTGCAGTGAGCTGTGATCACATCATTGCAATCCAGGCTGGGTGACAGAGTGAGACCTTGTTTCAAAAAAACCCAATAAATATGATGTGTGTGTTTCTTATCAGTAAATAAAATACAGAGAAAAGGAGGCTGGGTGCAGTGGCACACACCTATAATCCCAGCACTTTGGGAAGCCAAGGAGGGCAGATCACCTGAGGTCAGGAGTTGAGACCAGCCTGGTCAACTTGTTGAAACCCGTCTCTACTAAAAATACAAAAATATTAGCCAGGTTTGGTGGTGGGCACCTTTAATCCGAGCTAACCTGGGAGGCTGAGGCAGAGGTTGCAGTCGGCCAAAATCGTTTCTCTGCCCTCCAGCCTGGGCAACAGAGCAAGACTCTGTCTCAAAAAGAAAAAAAAAATTATCATGTATATATGAAGAGATAACCAGAAAGTCTGTAGCCAAAAATGTAGGAAAAAGGTGTTGGAGACCCGTGTCAGGCAGTAAATAAAAATACGTTCTTTGGGTTTTATGATGCTTATGGTGTTTGCTTGATAAATTGTTTTTTTTCTCAGTGATTTTTCTTATTTTAAATAAATACTCCTCTTGCTACCTAATTTTATAATCTTTTTTTTTGAACCAGTGTCTTGCTCTGTTGCCAGGCTGGAATGCAGTGACGCAATCTTGGCTCACTGCAACCTCTGCCTCCCGGTTTCAAGCAATTCTCCTGCCTCAGCCTCCCGAATAGCTGGAATTTCAGGCATGCGCCACCACACCTGGCTAATTTTTGTATTTTTAGTAGAGACGGGGTTTCACCATGTTGGCCAGGATGGCCCCATTCTCCTGACCTCGTGATCTGCCCACCTCGGCCTCCTGAAGTGCTGGGATTACAGGCTTGAGCTGCCGATGCCCAGCCTGGTTTTGTATTCTTTTTTTTTTTTTTTTTAATTTTTTAATTTTGAGGTAGAGACTTGCTTTGCCGCCCAGGTTGGAGTACAGTGGCGTGATCTCAGTTCACTGCAACCTCTGCCTCCCAGGTTCAGTTAATTCTCCTCTCTCAACCTCCCAAGTAGCTGGGATTGTAGGCACCTGCCACTGCGCCCAGCTAATTTTTGTATTTTTAGTAGAGACAGGGTTTCACCATGTTGGCCAGGCTGGTCTCGATCTCCCGACCTTGTGATCAACCCGCCTCAGCCTCCCAAAGTGCTGGGATTACAGGTGTGAGCCACCGCACCCAGCCCTAGATTTCTTAAAGCCCAGCCCCACGATCTTGGATCTGCCCTTGTATGTCATACATTGCTTTTCATTTCTGTTTCAGTGTAAAGAACTGGCCAAGTCCAAGGCAGAAGTGGCCTGCATCGCTGTGTACGAAACAGACGTGTTTGTCGTCGGAACCGAGAGAGGATGCGCTTTCGTTAATGCCAGGACGGATTTTCAGAAAGACTTTGCAAAATACTGTAGGTGTTTGTAATTTTACCCTTTGTATTCCCAGCCTCAAAATGATTGCAGGCAAGATTTACGTAGTATTTTCTTCTAAGGTATCGTAAGCACTGTCCTAGAAATGATCCTAACACATCTTCTTGGATTCAGCTTATCAAATATACACAGCTTAACACTGCAGAGTCCAAGACAAATGGTCGTTGTATTTTGTACTAGGCCCTCAGCAGTACTCTGGTTTCTTAGAAGAAATTTCGGTGACGTAGAACAAATTACCCTTAATTTCTAAAATAAACACATGTTTTACAGCATACTTTAGTCCTTTTCAAAGGAAAGGGAAAAAGCTTTTCCAGGGCTTGCTGTGTATTACTGTCTGTTAATAACCATTATACACTAATATAATCCTTTTTTCCTTTGTTTTTTTGAGACAGAGTTTTGCTGTGTCGCCCGGAGTAGAGTGCAGTGGCACAATCTTGTCTCACTGCAACCTCCACCTTCTGGGTTCAAGTGATTCTCCTGCCTCAGCCTCCTGAGTAGCTGGGATTATAGGCACCCTCCACCATGCCTGGTAATTTTTACATCTTTGGTAGAGATGAGGTTTCACCCCGTTGGCCAGGCTAGTCTTGAACTCCTGACCTCAAGTGATCTGCCTGCCTCAGCCTCCCAAAGTGCTGGGATTTCAGGTGTGAGCCATTGCGCCTGGCCGTTTTTCCCTTTTCTTACTTTGGCAATTTCAGAGCCTTCAGTCTGTCAAGGCGTGCTGCAGACCTCCAGTGTGAGTGAGTGTATGTGGCCGTATGTCAAGGAACTTCTCTACAATGTTAAAAACGATACCTCCCCAGGTACAAAGACTCACACCTGTAATCCCAACATTTTGGGAGACTGAGTCAGGTGGATCACTTGAGCTTGGGAGTTGGAGATCATCCTGGGCAACACGGCAAAACTCCATCTCTACTAAAAAAAATACAAACAAAATTAGCTAGGTGTGGTGGCCTGTGCCTGTTGTCTTGGCTACTCAGGAGGCTCAGGTGGGAGGATCACTTGAGCCTGGGAGGTCAAGGCTGCAGCGTGCTGTGATCACACCACTGTACTCCAGTCTGGGCAATACAGCAAGACCCAATCTCAAAACAAAACCAGACAAAAAACCCTACACCTTTTTTTTTTGTTTTGAGACAGAGTCTTGATCTCTTGCCTAGGCTGGCCCAGAAAGTTCCATCAGCACACTAGAGGGCATCTTCCTTATAATGCCCAGCAAGTCTTGCAGACACCCACAGGGCAACTGTCTGTGATTTCTGCCAGTACCCCCCAAGAGCAGGCCCCTGCTTGCCAGCCACGCGTGGGCACCCCCCACAGGCTTCTGCACTATCTACGGGGCTCTGGCCAAATCCTACTTAATGAGGTCTGGATCTTGGCCCTGGGGGGCCGCCCCATTCCTGGACTTGCTCCCTCCTGGGTCCCATGCCTCAGTCCAGCAGTCACAGATGCTCCTACAGCCTGCTGCTCATGTTCTCTTTAGAGTCCTCAGTTGCCCTAGCAATTAATCCCATGTTACCAGTTGACGATTCTTCTAGGAAACGTTACCTATTGGTGTAAATCAGTACAACTTCTGTGGAAAACAGTATGCAGATTTCTCAAAGAACTAAACATAAACTGCCATTCATTCCAGCCAGGCCACTACTTGGCATCTACCCAAAGGAAAAGAACTCCTTCTACCAAAAAGACACCGGCCTTGTACGTTCATCACAGCACTATTCACATGGCAAAGATGTGCAATCAAACTCAGCATCCATCACCAGATGACTGGATAAAGAAAATGGGGTACACACACAAAGGGACACTAATCAGCCATAAAAAAGAATGAAATGGCCGGGCACGTGGCTCACACCTGTCATCCAAGCACTGTGGCAGCCCAAGGCAGGTGGATCACTTGAGATCAGGAGTTCTAGACCAACCTGGGCATCATGGCGAACCCCTGTCTCTGCTAAAATTACAAAAATTAGCTGGGCATGGGGCACATGCCTATATTCCCAGCTACTGGGGTGGCTGAGGCAGGAGAATCACTTGAACCCGGGAGGCAGAGGTTGCAGTGAGCTGAGATCGTGCCACTGCACTCCAGCCTGGATGACAGAGTGAGACTGTCTCAAAAAAAAAAAAAGAATGAAATGATAAATTTTGCAGCAACATGGATGGAACTGGAGACTCTTGTCTTCATCATTTGACTTAAAAAAGACAAATGCTGCACGTCCTTACTTAAACGAGGGGCTAAATTATGGGTGCACATGGATCTAGAGAGTGTGGCCGGGGGCGGTGGCTCATCCCTGTAATCTCAGCACTTTGGGAGGCCGAGGTGGGGGGATCACTTGAGGCCAGGAGGGCAAGACCAGTCTGGCTCACATGGTGAAACCCTCTCTCTACTGAAAATACAAAAATGAGCCCTGTGTGGTGGCGCACACCTGTAACCCCAGCTGCTCAGGAGGCTGAGGCACAGGAATCTCTTGAACCTGGGAGGCGGAGGTTGCCGTGAGCTGAGATTGCACCCCTGCACTCCAGCATAGGCGACAGTGAGACTCTGTCTCAAAACACACAAACAAACAAACAAAACATGCTCATAGAGTGTGAAATAACAGACATTGGAGACTCAGAGGGGTGGGAGGCAGGAGGCAGGTAAGGGATGGTAAGGGATGACTTCATGGGTACATTGTACGTTATTTGGGTGATGGGCACACTGAAAGCCCAGACTTCACCAATGACATAATATATTCATGTAAGAAAACCATACTTGTGCCTCTTTAATACAAAATTAATACAAACAAACAACCTTTCTGTGTTTAAATTACTGTGGTTTCTGTCTCCTGACTAGACTGATCAAAACCATCAGTTTTAGAACTTTTGGAGGACCCATTGATTCTGGGGCTGATCTTGAATGGGTTCAGGCATATAGTCTTCCTACACGATTATTGTCACTTTTCAAGTGCATGACAAATCAAATTTCTGTTATAAAGATCATTTCTGGCTGGGTACAGTGCCTCACACCTGTAATCTCAGCACTTTGGGAGGCTGAGATGGGAGGATCACTTGAGCCCAGAAATTTGAGGCTGCAGAGAGCTTTGGTCATCCCACTGCACTGCAACCTGGGAAGCAAAGTGAGACCCTGTCTCTAAAAACAATAAGAATAATTTCCTTAAACTACTACGATTTCTTTATATGTTGAATTTTTTTATAGTTCTTTAACCTGTTTATCATAATTACCATTTTTCTTGTTTTTCTTTAAAATATCTTGTTTTGTATTTATTCACATTTTTTCCATTTTGTATTTCAATACCAGAAACACAGTACGGAAGTGTACCGCACAAATGCCTAGATACTGACCTGGTGCTCATCGTGCATTTGCAGGTGTTGCAGAGGGGCGGCGCGAAATGAAACCTCCCTGCCCCGTGAACGGGATGCAGGTCCACTCGGGAGAAACGGAAATACTCAGGAAGGCAGTGGAGGACTATTTCTGCCTTTGTTATGGTAATGTTCACTTTAAGCATGAATTCTCTAAATCGTTCACCAAGGAAGAGGACAGTATCACAGTCTTATTGGCATGACTACTTAGAATGTTTTGAACTTTTTTTTTTTTTTTTTTTTTTTTTTGAGATGAAGTCTCTCTCTGTTGCCCAGGCTGGAGTGCAGTGGTGCGATCTTGGCTCACTGCAATCTCCGCCTCCCAGGTTCAAGCAGTTCTCCCACCTCAGCCTCCTGAGTAGCTGGGATTACAGGCACCCACCACCACACCCGGCTAATCTTTTTTTGTATTTTTAGTAGAGATGGGGTTTCATCATACTGGTCAGGCTAGTCTTGAACTCCTAACCTTGTGATCCACCTCCCTGGGCCTCCCAAAGTGCTGGGATTACAGGCATAAGCCACCATGCCCAGCTGTTTTGCATATTTTAAAACCCATATTCTCATCAAGCGGGGAGGCAGTTCTTTTTTTGTTTGTTTTTTTCTTTTTTAGACAGAGTCTTGCTTTGTTGCCCAGGCTGAAGTGCAATGGCACGATCTCAGCTCACTGCAAATTGTGCCTCCTGGGTTCAAGCAATTCTCCCACCCCAGCCTCCTGAGTAGCTGGGATTACAGGCGCCCACCACCACACCCCTCTAATTTGTATATTTTTAGTAGAGACAGGGTTTCACCATGTTGGCCGGGCTGGTCCCAAACAGCTGACCTCAGGTGATCCGCCCACCTTGGCCTCGCAGAGTGCTGGGATTACAGGCATGAGCCACTGTGCCCGGCCACCAGTTCTTAATTACCAGATTAAGTGTTCTTTAGAAGATGATATGGATCTTGGATCTTCTGATCTATGGAAACTTCTGTATTGATCACTCTTCCTTGATCCTGTTTTAGAGAGCCCCCCGCAAAGGCCAGTGTAAAAATACACTGTAAAAATACACTGGCCTTTGCGGGGGGCTCTCTAAAACGGGATCAAGGTGCCATTACCAACATTGGCTCAGTCACCTCCCTCACGCCTACCCATGTCTTTCCATAGGCATGAAGATGGGAATTTAAAAAAAAGAAAAAAGACAAAACTGCACGTGGTGGCTTGAGCCCATAACCCAAGCTACTTGGGAGGCTAAGGCGGGAGGATCATTTGAGCCCAGGAGTTCGAGACCAGACCGAGCAACATAGTGAGACCTGTCTCTACAAAATAAAAATAATTTTCAAAAATGCCTTTGCATTGTTTTAAAAAGCTAGATAACAGATGGGGAGCAAACCCCATCTCTACTAAAAATACAAAAATTAGCTGGGAATGGTGGTGCATGCCTGTAATCCCAGATAGATATCAGGCTGGGCATGGTGGTTCACACTTATAATCCCAGCACTTTGGGAGGCCGAGGCAGGTGGATCACCTGAGGTCAGGAGTTTGAGACCAGCCTGGCGGACATGGTGAAACTATGTCTCTACTAAAAATACAAAAATGAGCTGGGCGTGGTGGGAGGCGCCTGTAATCCCAGCTACTCAGGAGGCAGAGGCAAGAGAATTGCTTCAACCCAGGAGGCGGAGGTTGCAGGTGAGCCCAGCCAAGACCCTGTTTCTTAATTAAAAAAAACAAACAAACCAAAAAAAAAAAAAAAAAAAAAAAAACTAGGTCAGGCTCGGTGGCTCCCACTATAATCCTAGCACTTTGGGAGGCTGAGGCAGGTGGATCACCCGAGGTCAGGAGTTTGAGACCAGCCTGGGCAACATGGTGAAAACCCGTCTCTACTAAAATACAGAAGAAATTAGCCGGGTGCGGCAGCGGGCGCCTGTAGTCCCAGCTGCTTGGGAGGTTGAGGCCAAGGTTTCGGTGAGCCGAGATCACACCGCTGCACTCCAGCCTGGGTGACAGAGCCAGACTCAGTCTCTACAAAAAAAAAAAAAAAACTTAAAACCTAAACTGGGAGAACATGAGGTTCACACCATCTAAAGATGTTTGCCTCTTCTCGTAGGGAAAGCATTAGGGACGACGGTCATGGTGCCTGTTCCGTATGAGAAGATGCTTCGAGACCAGTCGGCGGTGGTGGTGCAGGGACTTCCGGAAGGCGTTGCCTTTCAGCACCCTGAGAATTACGACCTGGCCACCCTGAAATGGATTTTGGAGAACAAAGCAGGGATTTCATTCATCATAAACAGGTGACGCTGCACCCCTGCGCCCTCCGTTCGTTTAAAGATATAACTGATAGCCTCATTTTAATTCACTCGTGCATTCCACCTGTTGTGTTTCAGAGTTGATTGTTGAGCTATGTCATACTTTTGTCATATGGCCGTGCTGGGTAACGGTGTTGCTTTTCTTGCAGACCCTTCCTAGGACCAGAGAGTCAGCTGGGTAAGTGACAGCTTCTCAGGTTTGGTGGCTCTTCTGAGCTGCTGAACCACTTCTTCATTAAAACTTGAATTTGAGCCGGGCGCGGTGGCTGAAGCCTGTAATCCCAGCACTTTGGGAGGCCGAGGCGGGTGGATCACGAGGTCGAGAGATCGAGACCATCCTGGTCAACATGGTGAAACCCCGTCTCTACTAAAAAAATATATAAAAAATTAGCTGGGCATGGTGGCGCGTGCCTGTAATCCCAGCTACTCAGGAGGCTGAGGCAGAAGAATTGCTTGAACCCGGGAGGCGGAGGTTGCGGTGAGCCGAGATCGCGCCATTGCACTCCAGCCTGGGTAACAAGAGTGAAACTCTGTCTCAAAAAAAAAAAAAAAAAAACTTGAATTTGAGCGAGGCGGGGAACTTACAGGATGGGCCAGTAGGTACAGCAAACCACCATGGCGTGCATATACCTAGGTAACAAACCTGCACGTTCTGCACATAGATCCTGTTTTTTTTTTTTTTTTAAAGAAGAAATGAAGAAAATTAAAAAAAAAAAAAAAGAAACAAAGTAAAGTATTAGGAACACATGCTCAGTGCCATAAAGAAAAATTAGCACGGAGACAAAAGATCTTTCAGCAATGCAATTTTTACTTTCTGCACTGCAGGAAGGGCACCCTCGCCAGCCATCATGCCACGAGAGTACAGTGAACAAAGGAAAAGCGGACGTATTTATCCCTTACGCATTTGGGGTTGTGTTTACTGCTGTGTCTGGTCTCTGTTGGTTGGAGATCTAAACTAATACCAGATTGGCTAACAACTTAAAACTTTTTTAAACAGGTAGAATCAATGGAGAAGTTCAAATAAGGAAGGGGCATAGCCTGTGAGCTGGGACATGCCTGTGAGTGCATCCAGCACAGATATCTTGGTTAAAGTACAGGGACGTAGAATGTATTATGTACCTATGAGCATGTTTAACAGCTACATAGGATAGGGCTTAACACAGAGTTTTATTAGCACACTTATAATTTATTCTTTAACAAGACAGGAAACTTTGAAGAGGAACTTTTACTTCCCACATAAAAATACATTTGGATCTGTAAAAAAAAAAAAAAAAAAAAATTGGCTGAGCACAGTGGCTCACACCTGTAATCCCAGCACTTTGGGAGACAGAGGCAGGCAGATCACTTGAGGTCAGGAGTTAGAGACTAGCCTGGCCAAAATGATGAAACTCCGTCTCTACTAAAAATACAAAAGTTAGCCAGGTGTGGTGGCGAGGCCTATAATCCCAGCTGCTGGGGAGGCTGAGGTGGGAGAATCGCTTGAACTGGGATGTGGAATTGTGGAATTTGCGGTGAGCCGATATCATGCCGCTACACTCCAGCCTGGGCAACAGAATGAGACTCTGAAAAAAAAAAAAAAAAAAAAAAAAAAAAAAGGATGTCTTGCTGAGACTGCCTAGGTAGAGTAAGGAGACGAGACAGCAGGGGTTGGGGGTGGCGCAGTTCACAGGTCACCTGCTGGGGCCGTGACACGCGCTAGTTCTTCTTAGCCGGGGAATAAACACAATGTAAAGTCTGTTTTGGGAGCAATGTTGAGTTCCTGATGTCTTCTAACTCACATTAAAGGAGAAGTGAGAGGGAAGGGTGGCAGGTGGCCATGGAATATTGTCCCAACTGACTTGTATCATCATAATAGAAAAACAATAGTTGTCTCCCGTTATCCTCAGGGGATACATTCCAAGACCCCCAGTGGATGCCCGGACCCATGGATTGTACAGAACCCTACTATACTCTGATTTTCCCTATCCATACCTACCTATGAGAAAGTTTAATTTATATATCAAGCACAGCCTGGTCACAGTGGCTCACTCCTGTAATCCCAACACTTCGGGAGGCTAGGTGGGTGGATCACCTGAGGTGAGGTCAGGAGCTTGAGACCAATATGGTGAAACCCTGTCTCTACTTAAAATACAAAAATTAGGCAAGGCAAGGTGGCTCACACCTGTAATCCTAACGTTTTAAGAGGCCGAGGCAGGTGGCTCACTTGAGGTTGGGAGTTTGAGACCAGCCTGACCAACATGGAGAAACCTTATCTCTACTAAAAATACAAAATTAGCCGGGTGTGGTGGTGCATGCCTGTAATCCCAGCTACTCGGGAGGCTGAAGTAGGAGAATTGCTTAAACCTGGAAGGTGAAGGTTGCAGTGAGCTGAAATAGCGCCACTGCACTCCAGCCCGAGCAACAGAGCAAAAGCCATCTCAGAATGAATGAATGAATGAATGAATGAATGAATGAATAAAGCACAGTAGAGTAACAACAATAACTAAAGACAAAATAGCACGATTGTAACAATATGCCCTCATTACTATTCTTGCACTTTGGGGCCATTATGAAGTCAAATAAAGGTGACTTGAACACAAGCACCTGGCCATCCCTGGACCATCAATCTGATAACAGAGCCAGCTACCCAGTGACTCGTGGGCGAGTAGTCTAGACAGCGTGGATGGCAGGACAAAGGGATGAGTCACATCACAGGCGGGATGGTGGGACATTTCATCACGCTGCCCAGAACAACATGGGATTTCAAACTTCTGAACTGTTTATTTCTGGAATTTTTCGTTTACTCTTTGTAGACCTTGATGACATTGGGGAAAGCAAAACCACAGATCAAGGGGGAGCTACTGTCACAGCAGCTGAAACTTAGCGCTTACAACGTGCCAGGCACCGTTGTAGTCATTTCGCATGCATTCATGAATCCTCCCACAACCACCATGTTCATAAGGAAACAGTGGTAGAAGGAGGTTTAGTGACTTGCTGGAGACAGCCCAGCTGGTGAGCTGAGGCTCGGCCCCAAGCCCGTGCTCTAACCCCAAAATATTCCTCAGTAGCCCCCATCCTGCCCACACCAGTGGCCCCAGAACACAGGGACTGCTTTGAGTCAGTCTCTCTCCCAGTGACTTTTCCACGATGGCTTCCACCTGGAAGTTCCATTTTCTGTGTCTTTGCTTTCAATGTTTATGCCTTTGGATGTTAGTCATTTTTCAAAGTGCTAAAAGGAGCTGGTGTGTGTCTTTTTATTTCTGCACAGGTGGCCATGAGATGGTGACAGATGCTGAGAGATCCATAGTATCACCACGTGAAAGGTAAAAGATAAACAATAGCCACTAAAATCCACATCTGTGCACAAAGTATTCACCTCTGGATGACAGAAAGGCCCCTTACAGCGTTTGAGGTGTAGTGTGAAGGGTTAGGGTGCTTCTTCTCTTCCTTAGGTTCTACCCTATTCTTCGTCCAAAAGTACCTTTGGAATTAGAAGACTATTTTCAGTAGACACATTTAATTTTGTAACAACCTATGAAGAACATTAATGTTGAGGCCAGGTGCGGTGGCTCATAATCCCAGCACTTAGGGAGGCCAAGGCGGGTGGATCATGAGGTCAAGAGATAAGACCATCCTGCCGAACATGATGAAACCCCATCTCTACTGAAAATACAAAAATTAGCCAGGCATAGTGGTGCACGCCTGTAGTCCCAGCTACGTGGGAGGCTGAGGCAGAAGAATCGCTTGAATCTAGGAGGTGGAGATTGCAGTGAGCCAAGATCGTGCCACTGCACTCCAGTCTGGGTGACAGAGCAAGACTCCATCTCAAAAAAGAAAAAAAAAAAGTACGTTAATGTTAAAGTTGAGGCATTGTTGCGTTTGGTTGAAGGGAGGAGGGGATTTGGTGCCTCGGAGATCCCGGGCATTTGAGCTCAGCGTGTCCAGGCGCCTGTGCTTGGTCCTCACCGTGCCCATCCTGACCAGGGTTCCCTTCTCCTTGCAGCTGTGGCCCCATCAGTGTGAAAACTGAACCCATGGAAGATTCTGGTGGGTACCATGATGCTTTTAGAATCAAGTATCAGCCAAGCGAGGTAGCTCATGCCTGTAACCCCAGCACTTTGGGAGGTCGGGCCAGGCAGACCACTTGAGGTCAGGAGTTTGAGATCAGCCTGGTCAACATGGTGAAACCCCATCTCTACTAAAATACAAAAATTAGCTGGGCATGGTGGTGTGTGCCTGTAATCCCAGCTACTCAGGAGGCTGAGGCAGGAGAATCACTTGAACCTGGGAGGCCAAGGCTGCAGTGAGCTGAGATGGTGCCCGCCACATTCCAGCCTGGGTGAGAGGGCGAGACTCTGTCTCAAAAAAAGCAAACAAAGCCAGGCATGGTGGATCACGCCTGTAATCCCAGCATTTTGGAAGACTGAGGTGGGTGGATCGCTTGAGCTCAGGAGTTCAAGACCAGCCTGGCCAACATGGTGAAACCCCGTCTCTACTAAAATACAGAAACTTCACCAGGCATAGTGGTGTGTGCCTGTAGTCCCAGCTACTTGGGAGGCTGAGGCATAAGAATTGCTGGAGCCCAGGACGTGGAGGTTGCAGTGGGCAGAGATCACGCCACTGCACTCAGCTTGGGCTATAGCATGAGACTCTGTCTCAAAAACAAAACAAAACAAAAAAGAACCAAGAATCTAGTAGGTTATCATTTGATGCCTTTTTTTGTTTGTTTGTTTTACCAAATAAATAAATCAAGACCAGGATACTAATTAACCTCAGTGGAACCTCATTTGCAGAAGAGCCATATTTGACTCAAATATCTAGAAAACAGAGCCTGGGTGGGGCACGGGGGCTCAGGCCTGTAATCCCAACAGTTTGGGAGGCCAAGGCAGATGAATTGCTTGAGCCAGGAGTTTGAGACCATCCTGGGCAATATGGCAAGACTTCATCTCTGCAAAAATATCAAAAACAGTGGTGCACACCTGTAATCCCAGCTGCTCAGGAGGCTGAGGTGGGAGTGTTGCTTAAGCCCGGGAGGTTGAGTCTGCAGTGAGCCAAAGTGGTACCACAGCACTCCAGCCTGGGCGACAGAGAAAGAATTTGTCTCAAAAAAGAAAAGAAAAGAGAGAGAGAGAGCCTTCTAATTCTGTAAATACTGGGGACTAAGATGTTATTAAATAGACATATTTGTGGATAATTTTTTTTTTTTTTTTTTTTTAGACAGAGTCTCGCTTTGTCACCTGGGCTGCAGTGCAGTGGTGTGATTTTGGTTCACTGAAACCTCCGCCTCCTGGGTGCAAGCGATTCTCCTGCCTCAGCCTCCCAAGTAGCTGGGACTATAGGTGCCTGCCACCACACCCAGCAAATTTTTATATTTTTAGTAGAGACGGGGTTTTACCATGATGGCCAGGCTGGTCTCCAACTCTTGACCTCAGGTGATCCACCCACCTCGGCCTCTGAAAGTGCTGTGATGACTGGCGTGAGCCACCTCATCTTGCCCAAAATATCATTTTAATTATATTTGAATAAAAAGTTTTGAATATGATTTTGGAATTACTACTTCACTCACAAATAGAGCAGTGTTCTCAGTTTTGGACATACTTTACTGCGTTTTTGGACTCTTCTGTCATTTCTAAATGTTTTACAATATAAGTACCTTACTATGACAATGTATACTTGGAAAAAAATCCCTCTTCCATGGATGAGAGTAGTTGACCCCCATTCTTGCTTCCCCGGACTCCTCAATAAAAGAAAACCAGCATGGCCGGGCACGGGGGCTCACGCCTGTAATCCAGCACTTTGGGAGGCTGAGGTAGGCAGATCACTTGAGGTCAGAAGTTCAAGACCAGCCTGGCCAATATGGAGAAAACCCATCTCTACTAAGAATACAAAAAAAATTAGCTGGGCGTAGTGTTGCACATCTGTAATCCCAGCACCTTGGGAGGCTGAGGCAGGAGAATCAGTTGAACCGGGAGGCAGAAGTTGCAGTAAGACAAGATCGAGCCACTCTCTTCTCCAGTCTGGGCAACAGAGAGGGACTTCATCTCAAAAAAAAAAAAAAAAAAAAAAAAGAAAAGAACAGCATTATTTAGAGGAAAAATGTTAACAGGTTCAGATTAAAAAAAAAAAAAATGTAGGCCAGGTGCAGACTCACACCTGTAATCCCAGCACTTTGGGAGGCCAAGGCAGGCAAATCACTTGATGTCAGGAGTTCAAGACCAGCCTGGCCAACGTGATGAAACCCCATCTCCACTAAAAATACAAAAAAATTAGCTGGGCATGGTGGCGGGTGCCTGTAATCCCAGGTACTCAGGAGGCTGAGGCACAAGAATTGCTTGAACCCAGGAGGCGGAGTTTGCAGTGAGCCGAGATCATGCCACTGCACTCCAGCCTGGGCAACAAGAGTGAAACTCCTTCTCAAACAACAATAACGACAACAACAAAAACATTTAAACCCAAATCTTTAATAAAAGGATGGGAAAATACTGAAAGCATTAAAAGTGGAAGGGTTCACGCCTGTAATCCCAGCCCTCTGGGAGGCTGAAGCAGGAGGATCACTTGAGCCCAGGAATTTGAGACCAGCCTGGGCAACAGAGCAAGACCCTCTCTCTACAAAAAATATTTAAAAATAAAAAATCATCCAGATATGGTGGTGTGCATTTATACTCCCAGCTACTTGGGAGGCTGAGGTTGGAGGATCACCTGAGCCCAGGAGATAAAGGCTGGTGTGAACCATGATTGCACCACTGCACTCCAGCCTGGGTGACAGAGCAAGGCCCTGGCTCCAGAAAATAATCATAATCCAAAAGAAAAACAATATTCTGTGTTAAGAAACAAAGATCTGGCTGGGTGCAGTGGCTGACACCTATAATCTCAGCACTCTGAGAGGTGGAGGCGGGCAGATCAGCTGAGATCAGGAGTTTGAGACCAGTCTAGACAACATGGTGAAACATTGTCTGTACTATAAACACAAAAACTGGCCAGGCTTGGTGGTGCATGCCTGTAATCCTAGCTACTTGGGAGGCTGAGGCAGAAGAATTGCTTGAACCAGGGAGGCGGATGTTGCAGTGAGCCAAGACTATGCGATTGCACTCCAGCCTGGGCGACAGAGTGAAACTCCTTCTTAGAGAAAAAAGTTGTAGAGAAAGGAAAACTAGAGCCTTTAGCATGAGTAAAATGAAGTAAGGACAGCAGTGTCTCTAAGACAGTGAAGGTGTGGTTTTGGCTTCGAAGCTCCTGGGAATCCTTGGGAGGGTCCAGGGACAGTGATGGGCCTCCTCATTCCGGCTCCTCCTCTGTCACACCCAAGGGTCTTTTCACCACAACTGTGGGTGCACATGTCTCTTGCATTCCCATGCAAACAGGTGCTTACCAGAAGCTCCAGCTTCAGATAAGAGTCTGAACAAAAGATAGTGCTTCTCCCCTGCAGTGGTTCTAGGTCAAACCAAGACAGGTTGACGGAAAGAAACAGGGGCCGTATTTCAGCTCAGCACAATTCAGCTGTGGAATCTTCATCTCGTTTCTGACATGACAGGCCTCAAACTCTTGCCCACTTAATTTTAGTCTTGGATGTTTTCAGAGCTCAGATATGTTCTGCCTATGTCTTACCTGGTCACAGAGAATTTAAAAAAAAAACCGAAGCCACAGGCTCCTCGTACAAACTGGGTCGATGAGGCCTGGGATGGTGGCTCACGCCTGTAATCCCAGCAATTTGGAAGGCCAAGGTGGGTGGATCACCTGAGGTCAGGAGTTCAAGACCAGCCTGGCCAACATGATGAAACCTTGTCTCTACTAAAAACACAAAAATTAGCTGAGTGTGGTGGCGTTCACCTGTAATCCCAGCTACTTGGAAGGCTGAGGTGGCATGGACTTGTGGTCTCAGCCACTTGGGAGGCTGAGGCAGGAGGATCGCTTGAACCTAAGAGGCGGATGTTGCAGTGAGCCAAGATCATGCCACTACACTCCAGCCTGGGCAACAGTGAGACTCTGTCTAAAAAAAAAAAAATTATACATGCCAGTTCAGTCTCCGTAACAAGAATATTCACACCATTTCATGTAAATGCATATGGATATTTAGCCACCTTGAAGGGGAAAATCTCCCAAAACTAGGACTAGACCCAGGACTAAGCTCCCCCGCCTTCATGATGTCTTTCTTCATCCTCATCTCCCTCCTTCCTTTTTTTTTTTTTTTGAGACCAAGACGCTCTGTCACTCAGGCTGGAGTGCAATGGCTCGGTCTCAGCTCACTGCAACCTCTGCCTCCTGGTTCATGCGATTCTCCTGCCTCAGCCTCCCAAGTAGCTGAGACTACAGACACACATCACTGCTCCCAGCTAATTTTTGTGTGTTTAGTAGAGACGGGGTTTCACCGTATTGGCCAGGCTGGTCTTGAACTCCCGACCTCAAGTGATCCGCCTCCTCAGCCTCCCGAAGTGCTGGGATTGCAGGTGTGAGCCCCCGTGCCCGGCCCCTCCTTCCTTCTTTCCTTTTCTATTGATTTTATTTTTATATAAATATACATAAACGCTTAAATGTATGTTTTCTATATGTCTATTTATAGTGTTTCTGTTTTTGTATCAAGAGGTCAAATTTGTTCATAGTGAATGAACTTCAAGCTCTTTTGCTGATTGTAATGTGGCTGTATTCATCAACTTACATTAGCTAGTCATGTTTCTCTGTTGGCAAGCTTAACCTAACATACAATTTTGTAATTTCCATTGCATCCCAAGGCATTTCCCTGAAAGCAGAAGCTGTCTCAGTCAAGAAAGAATCAGAAGATCCTAATTACTGTCAATATAACATGCAAGGTAATACTGTTTGGTAACACTTTTCTTCCCCAAAAGGTATTCGGGATGGAAGATTTTAATTACTACCTGTCTAAAAAACAGGCAAACACCCGTGTTTGTTTACCTAGGATCTAGCATACTGCCCTTTAGAGAGAATAATCCTACAGTTATTAAATAGACTTTATTCAGCCTCAATCCATGTACTCTTTTATTTTTAAAGAGATGAAGTGCCACTTTGTTGCCCAGGCTGGCCTCTAACTCCTGGGCTCAAGCCATCCTCCCACCTCAGCCTCCTGAGTAGCTGAGACCACAGGAGCACACCACCATGCCCGGCCAATTCTTTGTTTGTTTGTTTGTTTTCAGAGACAGGGTTTCACCATGTTGCCCAGGCTGGTTTCAAACTCGTGAGCTCAAACAGTCCACCTGCCTCAGCCTCCCAAAGTGTTAAGGTGTGAGCTACTGCACCCAGCCTCTTCAGGCTTCTAGTGAGATTCCACCCCTCTATTTGGGCACAGAGTCTCAATTCCTGCTGAGTGAGGTGGCTCATGCCTGTAAATCCCACCACTTTGGGAGGCCGAGGTGGGAAGTTCAAGATCACCCTAGGAAAGATGGCAAAACCCCTTCTCTACTAAAAATACAAAAATTACCTGGGCATGGTGGTGGGCACCTGTAGTCCCAACTACTTGGGAGGCTGGGGCAGGAGGATTGCTTGAACCCGGGAGGTGGAGGTTGCAGTGAGCTGAGATCACGCCACTGCACTCCAGCCTGGGCAACGGAGTGAGACTCTGTCTCAAAAACAAACAAACAAACAAAAACCAGTTCATAGTGGAATCTGAATGTGCATGTCTGCACATCACCATGAGGGGTAAAATACAAGAAAAGCAGAAATGAAATGTGTGCGTGAATTTTTTTCTGTTGCTGACAGACAAATGTTGATTACTAATTTTATAGTACAGTTAGAGTCACGGATAATAAAACCCCAAATTTATTTGGATTTAGTCTTTTACTTAGCAAATAAAATATATGCTAGATTTCCCTCCCTCCCCCTTTTTTTTTTTTCACTTAAAGAATCTTGGGCCTGGAGGCAGTGGCTTCAGCCTGAAATTGTAACACTTTGGGAGGCCAAGGCAGGAGAATGGCTTGAGTCCAGGAGTTCAAGACCAGCTTGGACAACATAGCTAGACCCTGTCTCTATAGAAATTTTAAAATTATCTGAGTGTGGTGGCATGTGGCTGTAGTTCCAGCTAATGTGGTGACTGGGGTGGGAAGATCACTTGAGCCCAGGAGTATGAAGTTGTAGTGAGCCATGATCACACCACTGAACTTCAGCTTGGGCGACAGAGCAAGATCCTGTCTCAAAAAAAAAAAAAAAAAAAAAAAAAAAAAAAAAAAAACCACAGTCCGGGCACAGTGGCTCACACCTGTAATCCCAGCACTTTGGGAGGCCAAGGTGGGCGGATCCCGAGGTCAGGAGTTCAAGACCAGCCTGACCAAGATGGTGAAACCCAGTCTTTACTAAAAATACAAAAATTAGCTGGGCGTGGTGGTGCACGCACCTGTAGTCCCAGCTACTCAACAGTCTGAGACAGGAGAATCGCTTGAACCCAGGAGACAGAGGTTGTAGTGAGGCAAGATCACACCACTGCATTCCAGCCTGGGTGACAGAGTGAGACTCCATCTCAAAAAAAAAAAAAAAAAAAAAAATCAATGTTACAAAACACAAAAATAGACTATGGAACTGTTCCTGATTAAAGGAGATTTAAAAGACACAGCAATTAGAAAAACTATCTGGCTCTAAACCGGATCCTGTACTGAAAAGAGTAAAGCTCTAAAGGACATTTGGGTCAGCTGAGAAAACTGGCATACCCACGATGAAATGCATCAACGTGTTGTCTCATGGCTACATGTCCTGGTTTTTAAAGCTTTGTTGTGATGGTGTAAAGGACTGTCCCTGTTCTTAGGAAATAGTCACTGAAGTATCTATGAAAAAGTATGTATATATACACCCGTATAGATGTCCGATGGAGGGGAGGGGAGAGGGAGGGAGGGAGAGAAATGCCAAGGATCAAGGGAATGAGGTCAAATGTTAACATTGTGGCCAGGCTCGGTGGCTCACACCTATAATCTCAGCACTTTGGGAGGCCGAAGTGGGTCAATCACGAGATCAGGAGTTCAAGGCCAGCCTGGCCAACATGGTGGAACCCCGTCTCTACTAAAAATACAAAAATTAGCCGGGCATGGTGTTGGGCACCTGTAGCCCCAGCTACTCCCATGTGGGGTGGGTACAGATAAAACAGGGTTGTGGCCGGGAGCCATGGCTCATGCCTGTAATCCTAGCACTTTGAGAGGCCAAGGCGGGTAGATCACAAGGTCAGGAGTTTGAGACCAGCCTGGCCAATATGGTGAAACCCTGTCTCTACTAAAAATACAAAAATTAGCCAGGCGTGGTGGTGGGAGCCTGCAGTCTCTGCTACTGGGGAGGCTGAGGCAGAAGAATGGCTTGAACCTAGGAGGCAGAGGTTGCAGTGAGCCGAGATGGTACCACACTGCAGTCCAGCCTGGATGACAGGGTTAGACTCTGTCTCAAAAAAAAAAAAAAAAACAAAAAAAAAACAGGGTTACATGGGTTGGTAGTCATGGGGGCTTCACTGTATGATCTTTGTGCTTTGGTATATTTCAAGTTTTCCAAAATAAAGTGATAAAAAAGTAAAAGGATCGTTTGTTTGAGGTTTATTTATTTATTTATATCTTTTTGAGATGGAGTCTCACTCTGTCACCCAGTCTGGAGTACAGTGGCGCGATCTCAGCTCCCTGCAACCTCTGCCTCCCAGGTTCAAGTGATTCTCCTGCCTCAGTCTCCTGAGTAGCTGGGATTACAGGCGCCTGCCACCATGCCCGGCTAATTTTTGCATTTATAGTAGAGACAGGATTTTACCATGTTGGCCATGCTGGTCTCGAACTGCTGACTTCAGGTGATCTGCCTGCCTCTGCCTCCCAACGTGCTGGGATTACAGGCGTGAGCCACCGCACCCGGCCAGTTTTATTTGAAGGGGTAGATGTATTTCATGTGTACTCCTGTGTAGGTCTTGAATTGTTGGTATTCTATTCAATGATTTCTTTCTTCATTTTTGTATTTCTCCTTTTGTTATGTATTATTTATTTTCCTTTCAGGAAGCCACCCTTCTTCCACAAGCAATGAAGTAATAGAAATGGAATTACCAATGGAAGGTTAGAAAAATGCAGCATTTTATCTCTCTTTTTAAAAAGTTTATAGTATTTTACAAAGAATACACTCTTTTATTTATTTATTTATTTATTTTGAGACAGAGTCTCACTCTGTCGCCCAGGCTGGAGTACAGCGGCACGATCTCAGCTCACTGCAACCTCTGTCTCCCAGGTTGAGGTGATTCTCGTACCTCAGCCTTCCGAGTAGCTGGGACTACAGGCATGCGCCCAGCTAATTTTCATATTTTTAGAAGAGATGGGGTTTTCCTGTGTTGGCCAGGCTGGTCTTGAACGCCTGACCTCACGTGATCCATCCACTTCTGCCTCCCAAAGTGCTGGGATTACAGGCATCAGCCACCCCGTGCCTAGCTGAAAGTTTATAGTATTTTACAGAGAACATACTCTTTTATACATGTAAGTTGGAAGATAAAGAAGGTGACTTCCTGACATGCCTGTCTTCTCAGAAAACAATATTAACAGTTGAGTTCTTGTCCTAAGATACAGTATTAAGGGCCTTATTACTTTGCGTTCTCCTGATCTGTGAGTGATGCTACTTCAAGCACCTGAATGCGAAGTTAACTTTGCATGGGTGCTATTTGTGCTTTGTCTTTTACGTGGCATGACTGAACTTTTTTGGTCAGAGTCAAATAGTATTTTAGGAAATTCTTGAATTAGAAGTAAAATTTGATAATACTTCCCTCCATTCATATATAAATCTTGAGCATCAATATAAATCTTGAGAATAGAGCCTAAATTCCTAACGAGGTTTATGTATGTCCAAGATAAAATTAATTTTAAAAAGGGCAGGGTGTGGTGGTTCACACCTGTAATCCCAGCACTTTGGGAGGTCAAGGTGAGCAGATCACCTGAGGTCAGGAGTTCAAGACCAGCCTGGGCAAAGTAGTGAAACCCGTCTCTATTAAGAATATAAAACTTAGCTGGGTGTGGTGGCAGGTGCCTGTAATCCCATGTACTCAGGAGACTGAGGCAGAATTGCTTCAACCTAGGAGGCAGAGGTTGCAGTGAGCTGAGATCACGACACTCCACTCCAGCCTGGGCAACAGAGTGAGACTGTCTCAAAATAATAATAACAATAATAATTAATTTAAAAGATTTCCTGTCCAAGGCAAGGCACAGTGGCGCATGCCTATAATCCCAGCACTTTGGGAGGCCAAGGCGGGTGGATCACGAGGTCAAGACATCGAGACCATCCTGGCCAACATGGTGAAACCCCATCTCTACTAAAAATACAACAACTAGCCAGGCATGGTAGCAAGTGCCTGTAATTCCAGCTACTCTGGAGGCTGAGGCAGTAGAATCGCTTGAACCCGGGAGGTGGAGGTTGCAGTGAGCCGAGATCAAGCCACTGCACTCCAGAACGAGACTCCGTCTCAAAAAAAAAAAAAAAAAAAAAAGATTTCCTGTCCAAACCTAGAGGCATGGGACATCTTTGTCTATTTACAGGCATTGTGATCTTACTTTTAGCTGTGTATCTGCCTTGGACAGAGAGTAACACATGTACTACCTGAAATGCTTCTGGTTTTTTTTTTTCTTTTTTTTTGGAAACAGTCTTTCCATGTTGCCCGGTCTAGAGGGTAGTACGTCGCAATCTCAGCTCACTGCAGCCTCCACCTCCCAGGTTGAAGCGATTCTCTTGCCTCAGCCTCCTGAGTAGTTGGGATTACAAGCCTGCACCACCACGCCATGTGCCACCATGCCCAGCTAATTTTTGTATTTTCAGTAGAGACAGGGTTTCACCATGTTGCCCAGGCTTGTCTTCAACTCCTGGCCTCAAGTGATCCACCCACCTCAGCCTCCCAAAGTGCTTGGATTACAGGCCTGAGCCACCGCGCCTACCCCAATGACTGTTTATTATCTTATTAATGCTTATAAAATTAATATTATATATGAAATGTATTTAAAATGCCAGGATAAGCTACTATTTTTGGTATAGGAACAGTAATTTGTTGGAATATGAGGAGAATACTTAATAACGAATGTCATTTTAGAAATTTTTTTTTTCAAGATTCCACTCCACTGGTTCCTTTAGAAGAACCAAATGAGGACCCTGAAGCCGAAGTAAAAATCGAAGGTTAGTGGCCAAAAGCCCCGTTGCCAAGTATGGTTTTCATTCTTCCTAACGGGATGAATTATGGGGAGGATGGCCGAATGTGGTGGGTCACGCCTGTAATCCCAGCACTTTGGGAGGCCAAGGCGGGTGTATGGCTTGAGCCCAGGAGTTCAAGACCAGCCTGGGCAATATAGTGAAACCCTGTCTGTACTAAAAACACAAAAATTAGCTGGGCATGGTGGCACACGTCTGTAGTGCCAGCTACTTGGGAGGCTGAGGCAGGAAGATCACTTGAACCTGGGAGGCAGAAGTTGCAGTGAGCCAAGATCTCACCACTGCACTCCAGCCTGAGCGAGAGAGTGAGACTCCATCTCAAAAAAAAAAAAAAAAAAAACCAAAAGCCAGGCGCAGTGGCTCACACCTGTAATCCCAGCACTTTGGGAGGCTGAGGGGGGTGGATCACAAGGTCTGGAGTTCAAGACAAGCCTGGCCAACATGGTGAAACCCTGTCTTAACTAAAAATACAGAAATTAGCCGGGTATGGTGCCGCATGCCTGTCGTCTCAGCTACTCGGGAGGCTGAGGCAGAAGAATCACTTGAACCCGGGAGGTGGAGGTTGCAGTGAGCCGAGATCGGGTCACTGCACTTCAGCCTGAGCGACAGAGTGAGACTGCATCTCAAAAAAAAAAATAGTCAGGCATGGTGGCTCACGCCTGTAATCCAGCACTTTGGGAGGCTGAGGTAGGTGTATCACCTAACATCAGGAGTTCGAGACCAGCTTGGCCAACATGGTGAAACCCTGTCTCTACTAAAAATACAAAAAAAAATCAGCCAGGCGTGGTAGCGGATGCCTATAATCCCAGCTACTCAGGAGGCTGAGGCAGGAGAATTGCTTGAACCCGGGAGATGGAGGTTGCAGTGAGCTGAGGTTTTGCCATTGCACTCTGGCCTGGGCAACAAGAGCGAAACTCCGTCTCAAAAAAAAAAAAAAAAAAAAATGGTGGGGAAGAGCTTGACATCTCTAGTGTGTGTTTATATAAGTAGAGTAGCCCATATTCCCAATAGGGCCCAGTACTTTGGGGTATTGTAGACAACTTAATTAAGCTGTGCAAAAAGATTAGAAAGAAAAGGAAAATAATAGCCAGGCATGATGGTGCATGCTTGTAATCCCAGCACTTAGTGAGGCCAAGGCAGGAGGATCATTTGAACCCAGTAGTTCTAGATCAGCTTGGGCAACATAGTGAGACTCCATCTCTGCAAAAAATAAACGTTAAAAAAAATTAGGCAAGGCACAGTGGCTACACCTGTAATCCCAGCACTTTGGGAGGCTGAGATGGGCAGATCAGTTGAACCCAGGAATTCGAGACCAGCCTGGGCATGGTGAAACCCTATCTCTACTAAAAATACGGAATATTAGCAGGGCATAGTGAGACACACCTGTAGTCCCAGCTATTCAGGAGGCTGAGGTGAGACAACCACCTGAGCCTGGGGAAGTCGAGGCTGCAGTGAGCCACGATTGTGCCGCAATACTCCAGCCTGGGTGATGGCAGTGAGATCCTGTCTGAAAAATATTAGCCAGACATGGTGGCATGCATCTTTAATCCCAGCTACTTGGGAGGCTGAAGCAGGAGGATGGCTTGAGCCCAGGATTTCAAGGCTGCAATGAGCTGTGATTACGCCCTGCACTCCAGCCTGGGCAACAGAGCAAGACCCCCCACCTCTAAAAATAAAAATTAAAAGAAAAATTTTTTTAAGTCTTGCATATCAGTACTGACCCGTAACGGCCTCATCTGTGCTGTGTTCAAGTGAGGAAAGACTATGTCAAGGGTATGTAAAGGGGGAGAATGGAAAGGAAAGGGTGATTCACTCAGATGTAGTCCCTTTCCTGCTGAAGCAGACACACAGTGTCAGAAGTAATTGCTCAGGCTGCAGCCGGAGTTTAAGTGCAAGGATCTAAAAGAAGTGAAGTTGGAAGTGTGATTTGAGGCCAGCGCAGTGGCTCACACCTGTAATCCCGGCACTTTGGGAGGCCCAGGTGAGTGGATCCTTTGAGGCTATGAGTCTGAGACCAGCCTGGCCAACATGGCAAAAACCCGTCTCTACTAAATATACAAAAATTAGGGCCGGCCACAGTGGCTCATACCTATAATCACAGCACTTTGGGAGGCTGAGGCAGGTGGATCACTTGAGAACAGGAGTTCGAGACCAGCATGACCAACATGGTGAAACCCCGTCTCTACTAAAAAAAATACAAATATTAGCTGGGTGTGGTGGTGGGCACCTGTAATCCCAGCTACTGAGGACGCTGAGGCACAAGAATAGCTTGAACCTGGGAAGTGGAGGTTGCAGTGAGCTGAGATCACATCACTGCGCTTCAGCCTGGGCAACAGAGTGAGACTCAGTCTGGAAAAAAAAAAAAAAAATTAGCCGGGTGATGCATGCCTGTGGTCCCGGCTACTCAGGAGGCTGAGGTGAGAGAATCACTTGACCGTGGGAGGTTGGGGCTGCAGTGTGCTAGAACCACACCACTGCACTCCAGCCTCAACTACAGAGTAAGACCCTATCTCAAAAAAAAAATAAAAATAAAAAAGATTGAGTCCGAATCTAAAGCAGCACTTAGACAGATTTCAAGGAGAATTGGCCTTAATCTTTGTAAATTCTAAACTTCAACTTCTGTTTCAAGGAAACACAAATTCATCCAGTGTTACAAATTCTGCGGCAGGTGTTGAAGATCTTAACATCGTTCAGGTGACTGTTCCAGGTATGGACTAATGTTATATTTTCTCTTTTGTCTTAATTATTTTTTTGACAAAGGGTGGTCTCTTAGACCTGTCATTTTTACTTAGTTCACCCTGGCAAGTAAGAAATGACAGTTTAGGAATATAAAATATGCCGCAGGTTGCTGTACAGCAAGCGTCCGGCTCGTATCAGACATTGTTAATCAGATATTCAGCTTCTCCCGGCCAGGCCCCAGCATTACCTGGAAAATGCATCTCAGAGCAGGCAGCTCAGAGCACCAGCTATGGCTGTATTGGAATTGGCCACAGAGGTGAAATGTTTTTGTTGCCCGTCATGAAGTAATCTTCTACATGTGTATGTAAAATATATCTGGAAGGATACGAGAGAATGTAATCATGTCGTGCCTCCAGGGAAGGAAACTAACAGCTGAGATAGGGATGGGAGAGAGGCATTCGAGATGTTTCTGTGTATTATTTCTCTTGAATGTTGAGCCATATGATTGCTTTAGTTATTCAAAAGTAAATAGAGTTTTAAAGTGTTGAAAAATATCTAAAAAATAAAAACACAAAAAGGGCTTGGCATGGTGGTACATGGCTGTAATCTCAGCACTTTAGGAGGCTGAGGCAGGAGGATCACTTGAGTCCAGGAGTCAGAGTGTGCAGTGAGCCAAGATTGTGCTGTTGCACTCCAGCCTGGGCAACAAGAGCAAAACTCAGTCTCAAAAAAAAAAAAAAAAAAGAAGAAATAACAGAAAAATATACCTTACCTTCTAATCCTAGTACGTCTTACTCCTTTTACTTGTCATATTTCGTTGGCTAAGATTTCTATTTTAAGGTTGAAATGTGGTGGTGAAAGTAAACATCCTTGTCTTGTATGATATTGAAAATATTCCCTAAAAGTAGTATGTAGTATGTTTCTTTAGGTTTATAATTTGGAGAAAATTCTCTATTGTTTATAATGCCTTCCATTTCCAAATTTCCAAAATGCTTAATTATTGCTAAAAGTAAACTGAGTAACAATCCATGTAAAACACTTTCTCAGGCGCAAACAGGCGTTTCCTCCAGCAGCTTTCTTGGGAGAAAATACATGAATAACCCTGGCTTGTTTATTTGTTATTCGTAGATAATGAGAAAGAAAGATTATCAAGTATCGAAAAGATTAAACAGCTAAGAGAACAAGTTAATGACCTCTTTAGCCGAAAATTTGGTAAGTTTTTGTATCTTTTTATATCCAGAATTCATACACTTGAAATACTTCTTTTTAAAAGAAGTGGGGCAGTGGCTCACATCTGTAATCACAGCACCTGAGGAGGCCAAGGATAAAGAATCACTTGAGCCCAGGAGTTCAAGACCAGCCTGGGGAACAAAACGGCACCCCAGCTCTACATGCACACAAAAAATAACACTTTATCTTATAAGAAGTTGATCTTGGCTGGGTGTGGTGGCTTACACTTGTAATCCCAGCACTTTGGAAGGCCAAGGTGGGCGGATCACTTGACGCCAGGAGTTTGAGACCAGCCTGGCCAACATGGCAAAACCTCAGCTCTACTAAAGATACAAAACATTAGCCAGTCGTGGTGGTGCGCACCTGTAATCCTAGCTGCTCAGGAGGTTGAGGCCCAAGAATCACTTGAAACTGGGAGGCGGGAGATTGCAGTGAGCTGAGATCACACCATTGAACTCCAACCTGGGTGACAGAATGGGACTGTCTCAAAAAAAAAAAAAAGAATTGATCTTTTTGTGAAGGAGCTATGATAAAAATTAGTCAATATATCTTTTTACAGAAGGGCTTTTGCTAGTGGCACTGACTCATGACAATGATAATAATAGCTATCTTTGTTTTACTGAGTGCTTACCTTGGCTATTATTTTTTGTGCTCAACTTGTGTTTGATTATTTAATCCTCACATAAAACCTTTCAGGCAGGCACCATGATAACCTCATGTAATGGATGGAGAAGCTCAGTCTGCCTCTGACCTATGCCAATTTAAAAACTATTCACACATCATAGTACCACTGGAAACTAAAGTAATAATGGATGATCATAAGTATTGTCATTTGATTGTCCTAAATTCTGACATTAAAGATAAATCCTGCTTAGGGAAATGTAAGGAACAAACTCAGCTTGTTTTATTGGGGTGTGTGTGTGTGTGTGTGTGTGTGTGTGTGTGTGTATGTGTATTTGTTGTGTTGTTTTGTCTCGCTCTGTTTCCGAGGCTGGCATGCAGTGGGGCGATCTCAGCTCACTGCAAATTCTGCCTCCTGGGTCCTTCCTGTGTAGCTGGGATTGCAGGCATGAACCACCATGCCCAGATATTTTTTGTATTTTTAGTAGAGACAGGGTTTCCCCATGTTAGTCAGGCTGGTCTCGAGTCCTGGCCTCTAGTGATTCACCCGCCTCGGCTTCCCAAAGGGCTGGGATTACAGGCAAGAGCCACCTCACCCGGCCAAACTCAGCTAGTTTTATGCTGCTCATCCCGTCACAGGTGAAGCAATTGGTGTGGATTTCCCTGTGAAAGTTCCCTACAGGAAGATCACATTCAACCCTGGCTGTGTGGTAATTGACGGCATGCCCCCAGGGGTGGTGTTCAAGGCCCCTGGCTACCTGGAAATCAGTTCTATGAGGAGGATCTTGGATGCAGCTGAGTTTATCAAATTCACAGTCATCAGGTAAGTGAGTCAAGAGGATGACTCTGGAGACTGTGACCTGCCCGAGGTGGGCATGTGGCAGCCTCAAGATTTGCATCCCATGACGTGGGCTGGGGTTTGTTCCCACAGTGGACCGCTGGGCCACGCCGTCTCACACTGACTTCATCATCCTCTGCTTCCTTGAGATGTGTCTGTGTCTCTGTTTCTTGGTGATCACGGGCAGCCTTCCCAGTTTTAGCTCGCATGGCACCTAGCATAGAGTTGACACTCTGCAAAAGTTTGTCAAATAAAACTAAGTGGGGCTGGGTGCAGTGGCTCATACCTGTAATCCTAGCACTTTGGGAGGCTGAGGCAGGTGAATCACTTGAGGCCAGGAGTTTGAGACCAGTCCGGCTAATATGGCGAAACACTGTCTCTACTAAAAATACAAAAATTAGCTGGGTGTGGTGGTGTGTGCCTCTAATACCAGCTACTCAGGAGGCTTAGGCAGGTGAATAATTTGACCTGGGAGGTGGAGATTGTGGTGAGCTGAGATGGCACCACTGCACTCCAGCCTGGCAACAGAATGAGACTCTGTCTCAAAAAATAAATAAATAGGCCTGGCACAGTGGCTCATGCCTGTAATCCCAGGATTTTGGGAGGCTGAGGCAGGTGTATCATTTGAGGTTGGGAGTTGTAGACCAGCCTGGCCAACATGGTGAAATCCCATCTCTACTAAAAATAAAAATTAGCTGGTGTAGTGGTACATGCCTGTAATTCCAGCTACTCAGGTCAATTGCTTGAACCCAGAATGTGGAGGTTGCAGTGAGCCCAGATTGTGCCACTGCACTCCAGCCTCAGCAATAGAGTGAGACTCCATCTTAAAAAAAAAAAGTTGAGTGTGGTGGCTCACGCCTGTAATATCAGCACTTTGGGAGGCTGAGGCAGGTGGATCACCTGAGGTCAGGAGTTCAAGACTAGCCTGGCCAACATAGTGAAACCCCGTCTCTACTAAAACATACAGAAAATTACCTGGGCATAGTGGTGCGTGCCTGTAATCCCAGCTACTGAGGATTCTGAGGGAGGAGAATCACTGGAACCCGGGAGGCAGAGGTTGCAGTGAGCTGAGATCATGCCACTGCACTCCAGCCTGGGCAACAAGAGCAAAACTCTGTCTCAAAAAAACAAAAACAAAACAAAACAAAATAAATAAATATTCTTCTATTAAAAAATAAATAGGTAAAAATTAAAAACAATAAAACTGAGTGCACAGAAGAGGAAAGGTGAGCTTATCACATTTATCACTGTGTCTCTCTCTCTCCAGGCCACTTCCAGGACTTGAGCTCAGTAATGGTGAGTATTCTGCATGGTGAGAAGAACGTTCCAGCAATGTTGGGCCACGGGAAGTGTCTTGGTGGGTGCTGACCATGGGGTCCTTGCTTCCTGAGCCTGGGAGCCAAGCATACTGCCTTTGATGCATGCTTTATTTTTCCTGCATGTGATAAGGTTAGATAATTCCGTTTGAATTTGATAAATCAGGCGTTTTTTCTCATACAACAATCTGAAGGAGTGTGATCTGTATCATACCGTAGTGTGAAGTGTGATGTGGCACATTCTGGTTTTTTTGGGGGGTTTTTTTGGAGACAGAGTCCTGCTCTGTCACCCAGGCTGACTCAATCTCAGCTCACGGCAACCTTCGCCTCCCCAGTTCAAGCAATTCTCCTGCCTTGGTCTCCCGAGTAGCTGGGATTACAGGAATGTGCCACCATGCTCGGCTAATTTTTGTATTTTTATTTTTATTTTTATTTTTGAGATGGAGTTTTGCTCTTGTTGCCCAGGCTGGAGTGCAATGGCACGATCAGCTCACTGCATTCTCCGCCTCCGGGTTCAAGCAATTCTCATGCCTTGGCCTCCCAAGTAGCTGGGATTACAGGTGAGCCCCACCATGCTTGACTAATTTTTGTATTTTTAGTAGAGATGGGGTTTCTCCATGTTGATCAGGCTGGTCTTGAACTCCCAACCTCAGACAATCCGCCCTCCTCAGCCTCCCAAAGTGCTAAGATTACAGGCGTGAGCCACTGTACCTGGCAATTTTTGTGTTTTTAGTAAAGATGGGGTTTTGCCATGTTGGCCAGGCTGGTCTCAAACTCCTGACCTCAAGAGATCCGCCCACCTTAGCCTCCCAAAGTGCTGGGATTACAGGCGTGAGCCAACGAGAGTGACTGATGTGGTACACTGTTTATTCAAGTGTGTTTTATGGCAGGAGCTCCCCTGAGGCCACGTGTACAGCTGCACTAACTTGATAGTACTGATCTCCTCTGTGTTAGTTGGTAAATAGTGCCTGCCTGGCCACCCAGCCCCACCCTAGTGCCCCCTGACCTTGGCTTGACCTTCCTACAGTGCTGAAGCCAAAGGGGTTCCACCAGGCACAGCATGGACCCCCAGAACCCTTCCAGTGCTGAGGCTAGCATCTGTCTTTTTGTTTTTTGTTTTTTGTTTTTTGAGATGGAGTCTCGGCCTGTTGCCCAGGTTGGAGTGCAGTGGCGAGATCTCGGCTCACTGCAACCTCCGCCTCCCGGGTTCAACCTATTCTCCTGCCTCAGCCTCACGAGTAGCTGGGATTACAGGTGTGCACCACCACTCCCAGCCAATTTTTGTATTTTTTAGTAGAGACAGGGTTTCACCATGTGGGTCAGGCTATTCTCGAACTCCTGACCTTGTGATCCGCCTGCCTCGGCCTCCCAAAGTCCTGGGATTATAGGCATGAGCCACATCACCCGGCTTTTTTTTTTTTTTTTTTTTTTTTTTTTTAAGATGGAGTCTTGCTCTGTCACCCAGGCTGGAGTGCAGTGGTGTGATCTTGGCTCACTGCAACTTCCACCTCCCAGATTCAATCCATTTTCCTGCCTCAGCCTTATGAGTAGCTGGGATTACAGGCATGTGCCACCACACCCGGCTAATTTTTGTATTTTTTAGTAGAGACAGTTTTGCCACGTTAGCCAGGTTGGTCTCGAACTCCTGACCTTAAGTGATCCACCCACTTCACCCTCCCAAAGTGCTGGGATTACAGATGTGAGCCACCGCGCCCAGCCCAGCATCTGTTCTAATTGAGCAATGCCCAGGCACTCTGCTTCTTAAATATTCTCTCTTTTTTTTTCCTTCATTTTAAGTTCCAGGGTCCACGTGCAGGGTGCATAGGTTTACACAGGTAAACGTGTCATGTGGTTTGCTGCACAGATTAACCCATCACCTAGGTATTAAGCCCAGCATCCATTAGCTATTCTTCCTGATGCTCTCGCTCCTCCTACCCGACACCCCCAGCCTGTTAAATATTCTTTTTTTTTTTTTTTTAACGGAGTCTCACTCTGTTGCTCAAGCCAGAGTGCAATGGTGCAATGTTGGCTCACCGCAACCTCCACCTCCTGGGTTTAAGCGATTCTCCTGCCTCAGCCTCCCCAGTACCTGGGATTACAGGCATGCACCACCACGCCCAGCTAATTTTGTATTTTTAGGAGAGTCAGGGTTTCACCATGTTGGTGAGGCTGGTCTCAAACTCACAGCTTCAGGTGATCTACCCGCCTCAGCCTCCCAAAGTGCTGGGATTACAGGCATGAGCCACCACTCCCAGCAGGATGTTAAATATTTTTAATGTCTTCCCTGGATCCCTTGCAAGTTAGTCAGTATCCTGTCAAGTAGACTATGGAGAGGTGTTTTCACGAGGGTGAGTCACCAGGGAACCTCCTAATGTAATGTTTGAAAACCAAAGGATTCTATTAAAATGCTCCATTCTTATTCCCAAACGCATCTGATTGCTAAATGATTTTTTTAATCTTTATAATAGCTTTATTTATTTATTATTGTGTTTTTTTAGAGACTAGGTCTCTCTCTGTTGTCTAGTCTGGAGTGCAGTGGCGTGATTATAGCTCACTGCAGTCTGGAACTCCTGGCCTCGGGTGATTCTCCCACCTCTGCCCCCTGAGTAGCTGGGACAGCACTGCAATGCCCAGCTAATCTTTTTTTTTTTTTTTTTTTGTCTTCTTCTTTTTCTTTTTTCTTTTTTTTTGTAAAGACAGGCTTCAAGCGATCCTCCTGCTTCAGCCTCCCAAAGTGCTGGGATTATAGGGATGAGCCACTGTACATGACCTACATTTTCTTAAGTTGCACTTTTACATGTGTGTGCTCTGGAGATACCTTGCTGACCTGCAGGGTGGCCAGCTTCTTTAAATTTCAGACACTAGCCCCTGCACGCTTGAACATGTTTATATGGATGAGTTCTGTGTGGTTCTGTGGCTATCACCCTTGTCATTTGAGACTCACAGCAAGTAAAAATCATATGCCTTTTCTGTGTTCACTCCCATCTCTGTTATTTCAAAGTTTTCTTGGGAATCAAATGAGAAAATATGTTAAAATGCATACGTAAGTTCAGGCTAAGTGACTCACACCTGTAATCCCAGGATGGAGGCCAAGGCAAGAGGATTGCTTGAGTCCAGGAGTTCGAGACCAGCCAGGGCAACATAGGAAGTCCCCATCTCTACAAAAAAATTTAAAAATTATCTGGACACAGTGGCTCTTGCCTGTAGCCCAGCTACTTGGCAGGCTGAAGCAGAAGGATCACTTAAACTCAGGAGTTTGAGACAGCAGAGAGGTGTAATTGTACCACTACACTCCAGCCTGGGTGACGGAACAAGACCCTGTCTCTAAAAAGGAAATGCATACATCTGGGTGTGGTGGCTCACACCTATAATCCTAGCACTTTGGGAGGCCAAGGTGGGCAGATCACCTGAGGTCAGGTGTTTGAGACCAGCCTGACCAACATGGTGAAACCCCATCTGAAAAACAAAAAAAGAAAATGCACACACTATCAAATAATTCCTGTATAAACTGGACGTAACAAGCACAGCTACACGCCGAGCCTCATCAAAGGGGTCTTTTGTTTGTCTCATGTACTTTTAAAAATAAGGATGAGGCCAGGCCTGGTGGCTCCCGTAATCCCAGCACTTTGGGAGGCCAAGGTGGGTGGATTGCTTGAGCCCAGGAGTTTCAGACCAGCCAAGCAACACGGCAAGACTCCACCCCTACCAAAAAAAAAAAAAAAGAAAAAAAGTAGCTGGGTATGGTGATGCGTGACTGTAGTCCCAGCAACTGGGGAGATGAGCCCAGGGAATTCCAGGCTGCAGTGAGCCATTATCACACCACTGCACTCCAGCCTGGATGACAGAATGAGACTCTGTCTCAAAAAAATAATAATAAAATGGTAATGGTGTGCTCCCTTGAGGGAAAAAAAAAAAAAGAAAAAGAATAATTTTAAAAAATGAGGAATAGTGGCCAACATTGAAAAGCCTAGCACTCTTTCATAAAAGTCCATCTTCAGGTTTTCTTTAGAAATCTGAAGATCTGGCTGGGTGCAGTAGCTCACGCCTGTAATCCCAGCACTTTGGGAGGCTGAGGCAGGTGGATCCCCTGAGGTCAGGAGTTTGAGACCAGCCTGGACAACATAGTGAAACCCCATCTCTACTAAAAATACAAAAATTAGCTGGGTGTGGTGGTGGGTGGCTATAATTCCAGCTACTCAGGAGGCTGAGGCAGGAGAAACTTGAACCAGGAGGTGGAGGTTGCAGTGAGCCGAGATTGTGCCACTGCGCTCCAGCCTGGGCGACAGAGCAAGATTCCGTGTCAACAACAACAACAACAAAAAAAAGGTCAGTCTTCGGGTTTTCTTTAGAAATCTGAAGATGTGGCCACAGCGGGTGTCCTGGCAGCGGTTTGCTGGAGTTGAGTGTCAGCTGTCCCTCTCTGCAGGGGTGGGTCACCCTCCTGTTAACCACGTCTCCCGCCACTGCCCGCCATTGCTTCCTCCCTCACGTGGGTCGTCAAGCATTTGCTGTTGTTTTCCTCATGGTAGCGCTAAGAGAAAAGTGAAATATTTCTTGTCTCCCTGTCTCTGTCAAAAGTGGGAAAACGTAAGATAGACCAAGAGGGCCGTGTGTTTCAAGAAAAGTGGGAGAGAGCGTATTTCTTCGTGGAAGTGCAGAATATTCCAACGTGTCTCATATGCAAACAAAGCATGTCTGTGTCCAAAGAATATAACCTGAGACGCCACTATCAAACCAACCACGGCAGGCACTATGACCAGTATACGGAAGGAATGCGTGACGAGAAGCTTCACGAGCTGAAGAAGGGGCTCAGAAAGTATCTCTCAGGCTCCTCAGACACTCAGAGTCCCGAGCAAAAACAAGCGTTTGCAAATGCAAGTCCCACCCAGAATCCCCCCGTGCAGCCCGTAGAGGACACGGCCAGGAACTTGTGGGAGAAGTTACGTGAGAAAATCAGGTCTTTTGCGGCATATTCCATCGCAATCGATGAGATCACGGATATAAATAATACCACCCAGCTGGCCATCTTCATCCGGGGCGTCGATGAGCACTTTGATGTGTCCGAAGAACTTCTGGACACAGTGCCCATGACAGGCACAAAATCTGGAAACGAGATCTTTCTGCGTGTTGAGAAGAGTCTGAAAAAGTTCGGTGTTGACTGGTCAAAGTTAGTCAGCGTGGCCTCCACTGGCACTCCAGCAATGGTGGATCCCAATAATGGACTTGTCACAAAACTGAAGTCCAGGGTGGCGACGTTCTGCAAGGGCGTGGAACTGAAGTCCATCCGTTGCATCATTCATCCGGAATCACTCTGCGCTCAGAAGTTGAAGATGGACCACGTCATGGACGTGGTAGTGAACTCTGTGAACTGGATATGCTCCCGGGGACTGAACCACAGTGAGTTCACAACGTTGCTCTATGAGCTGGACAGCCAATATGGCAGCCTCCTGTACTACACGGAGATTAAGTGGCTCAGTCGAGGGCTGGTGCTAAAGAGATTTTTCGAATCGTTGGAAGAAATTGACTCTTTCATGTCATCCCGAGGGAAGCCCCTGCCTCAGCTGAGCTCCATAGACTGGATCCGAGACTTGGCCTTCCTGGTTGACATGACGATGCATCTGAACACTTTGAACATCTCCCTCCAAGGGCACTCCCAAATCGTCACGCAGATGTACGACTTGATCCGGGCGTTCCTAGCCAAACTGTGCCTCTGGGAGACTCATTTGGCGAGGAATAATCTGGCCCACTTCCCCACCCTGAAATCGGTTTCCAGAAACGAAAGCGACGGGCTGAACTACATCCCCCAAATCGCGGAACTCAAGGCCGAGTTCCAGAACAGGCTGTCTGATTTCAAACTCTACGAAAGCGAACTGACTCTGTTCGGCTCCCCGTTCTCCACGAAGATCGACAGCGTGCACGAGGAGCTCCAGATGGAGGTTATCGACCTGCAGTGCAACACGGTCCTGAAGACGAAATACGACAAGGTGGGGATACCGGAATTCTACAAGTACCTCTGGGGCAGCTACCCCAAATACAAGCAACACTGCGCCAAGATCCTCTCCATGTTCGGGAGCACCTACGTCTGCGAACAGCTGTTCTCCATTATGAAACTGAGCAAAACGAAATACTGCTCCCAGCTAAAGGATGCCCAGTGGGATTCCGTACTCCACATCGCAACGTGATGGAGAGAGAGCCCCTGGCAGTGCCCTATGGTGGGAAAGGCTGGGGTCTTCTAGGCCCGAGGGATTGGGAGATGACAGCATCAATTCTTTTTGTTTGTTTGTTTTTCTTTTTTGAGACAGAGTCTTGCTTTGTCACCTAGGCAGGAATGCAGGGGCGCGATCTCAGCTCACTGCAACCTCCAGCTCCCGGGTTTGAGCGATTCTCCTGCCTTGGCCTCCTGAGTAGCTGGGACTACAGGTGCGTGCCACCATGCCCGGATAAGTTTTGTATTTTTAGTAAAGATGGGGTTTCACCATGTTGGCCAGGCTGGTCTTGAACTCCTGACCTCAGGTGATCCACCCACCTCGACCTCCCAAAGTGCTGGGATTACAGGTGTGAGCCACTGCGCCCAGCCTAAAATGAATTCTTAAACATTTGTTTTTTTCCATTTTTTTCCACTTTGATTCAGAAATATAATCTGCAATATCGTACTTGTTTATATGACATTGTATGCCTCGCTGTTCAGTAAAAATCAAGAAGGTTTTATTGTATCATTGGTAGTTGACTTTTCTATGCCTGGCTGCTTCATTCCTTCACATTACCTGCCTGCCCCCCGCAGAGGCACTGTAGTTGGCATCCTGAAGTTTAAATCAGTCAACAGAGAAATAGGTAGAGAGACATGTATATCTGTTTTTTGTTTTGAAATGGAGTCTCACTCTGTCGCCCTGGCTGGAGTGCAATGGCATGATCTGGGCTCACTGCAACCTCCACCTCCTGGGTTCAAGCAGTTCATATCCCTCAGCCTCCCGAGTAGCCGGGATTACAGGCATGTGCCAGCACGCCCAGTTCATTTTTGTATTTTTGGTAGCGACAGGGTTTCACCATCTTGGCCAGGCTGGTCTTGAACTCCTGACCTCAAGTGATCTGCCCACTTCTGCTCCCAAAGTGCTGGAATTACAGGTGCGAGCCATCGCTCTGAGCTCAAGATGTGTATATTTGTGAGCACACATTTATCCCCTGTCCCCATCTGCGTGGTCTCCCACATGGTCTAACATGTTTCCAAGTTTCAGGAGAAAGAGTTGGAAACATACTGACATACTAATCCCATGTTATCTATCTCAGCCTTCACCTGGAACCAGAAAGGTCAGGTTTAAAATGGAAAAACCCCAGAGCAAATAACATAGGCTCTGTCTATAAAAGCTAGACAAAGTAAGTTGAGGTTTAGAGGTTTTTTTGTTTTTTTGTTTTGAGACGGAGTCTTGCTGTGTCTCACCACTTGCTGGAGTGCGGTGGTGCAGTCTCGGCTCACTGCAGCCTCTGCCTCCTGGGTTCAAGTGGTTCTTCCGCCTCAGCCTTCTGAGTAACTGGGACCACAGGTGCGCCCCACCACACCCGGCTAATTTTTGTATTTTTAGTAGAGACAGAGTTTCACCATGTTGGCCAGGATGGTCTTGATCTCTTGACCTCGTGATCTGCCTGCCTTGGCCTCCCAAAGTGCTGGGATTACAGGCCACCATGCCCGGCCTAGAGGTTATTTATTTTTATTTTTTATTTTTTTACTTTTAACTTCGAATAGTTATAGAAAAGTTGCAGCCAGACACCGTGGCTCACACCTGTAATCCCAGCATTTTGGGAGGCTGAGGCAGGAGGATCACTTGAGGTCAGGAGTTTGAGACCAGCCTTGGCAACATGGTGAAACCCCATCTCTACTAAAAGCACAAAACTTTGCCAGGCGTGGTGGTGCGCACCTGTAGTCTCAGCCACTCTGGAGGCTGAGGCAAGAGAATCACTTGAACCTGGGAGGCTGAGGTTGCAGTGAGCCGAGATTGTGGCATTGCACTCCAGCCTAGGCAACAGAGCGAGACTCTGTCTCAATTTAAAAAAAGAAAAGTTGCAAAAATAAAAATAGTATGAAAAATACTCACATGCCCTTTAGCCAGACTCTCAATTGTTAATCTTTTTCCCTTGTTTCATTATTGAATCGCTCTCTCTCCCTCCTTCCCTCCCTCTCCCTCACACTGATACGTGTGTGTCTATAATCAGTGCCTATGGTGTGTGTAAGCAAATGTCTATGAGTATCTATGATATGTGTACAAATGGATGTGCATTTTTTCCCTGAACCATTCAAGGGAAAGTTACATTATCACTTACCACTAAATACTTCAGTGAGTATTTTCCCTGAGGACAGGGACATTCTCTTACACAGTCACGTTTCCTTTACCAACTTCATTGAACATTGATGCAATTATTTTATCTAGTTTACTGTTCATACTCTAGTTTTCTCTGTTGACCCAGTAATGTCTTTCCTTTTTTAAAACAAAACAAAACAGGAAATGGTCTCTCCCTCTCGCCCAGGCTGGAGTGCAGTGGTGCAAGCTTGACTTGATGCAAGCTCCGCTTCCTGGGTTCAAGTGATCCTCCCACCTCAGCCTTCCAAGTAGCTGGGACTACAGGTGTGTGCCACCATGCCCAGCTAATTTTTGTATTTGTTTGTTTGTTTGTTTGTTTGTTTTTTTGTAGAGATGGGGTCTCCCTTTGTTACCCAAGCTGGTCTCAAACTCCTAGGCTCAAGTGATCCACCCGCCTGGGCCTCCAGAAGTGGTATCTTCCCCTTAACAGCATTTTTCTCCTGGCAGGCTGTCATTCGAAGGAGCGTTGTGTGTGTCTGTGTGTGTGTAATCTCTATTAATCCCTGGAATTAATGACACAAAATTGTGGATACTTTCCAGATTGGAGGACTCATGTGACCAGGGTGGAGGAAGGCTGTAGATCTCCACTCAGGAAGCAGTGGACAAAAGGACTATGATAAAACTGACAGAGGGTGGCTGGGCACAGTGGCTCACGGCTGTAATCCCAGCACTTTGAGAGGCTGACGTGGGTGCATCACAAGGTCAGGAGTTCAAGACCAGCCTGACCAAGGTGGTGAAACCTCCGTCTCTACTAAAAATGCAAAAAAAAAAAAAAAAAAAAAAGAAAGAAAGCCAGGCATTTGGTGGTGGTGGGTGCCTGTAATCCCAGCTACTTGGGAGGCTGAGGCAGAGAACTGCTTGAACCCAGGAGGCGGAGGATGCAGTGAGCCAAGATCGCACCACTGCACTCTAGCCTGGGCAACAGAGCAAGACTCCATCTCAAAAAAAAAAAAAAAAAAAAAAAAAATGACAGGGTGCAGGAGGGAGAGAGTAACCCCCAGGCCAGGAGTCCTGTTGGAGCCCAGGTGCCTATCCTCAGACACAGGGATATGACCCCGCTCCAGGTGGTTCCTGTGGTGGGCTTCAGGTACAGCTGGGTCTGGCAAGCTCAGCGCTCTTTTGGAAAAGGAATCCCAGATGGGCTGGTTTCTAATGGGAGTTGGACGGAAGCCCAGGTCTGGGTGGAACTGAGCATTTGTTGACATCACGTATCAGAGGCATGGCCCTGCAGCGGGACCAGAGCAGCCCCACACATTATAGACAGGAAGCTGAAGCTCAGAGTGGCTGATTGGCTTGCTTAAGGTCACACAGCCATTACAGGAGTCATCAGGGTTCAAACCAGGGTCCATGTGACTCCAAAGTCCATGTGCTTCACTGCTTCCTTTTTTTTTTTTTTTTTTTTTTTTTTTTTGAGATAGAGTGTAGCTCTGTCGCCCAGGCTGGAGTGCAGTGGCATGATCTTAGTTCAATACAACTTCCACCTCTCAGATTCAAGCAATTCTCCTGCCTCAGCCTCCAGATAGCTGGGACCACAGGCAGGAAGTACCACCATGCCTGGATAATTTTTGTATTTTTAGTAGAGACGGTTTTTTTCCATGTTGGCCAGGATGGTCTTGATCATTGTTTGATCACTTTCTCTCCTTCCCTCCTTCCCTCCCTCTCCCTCTCATGATATGTGTATATGTATATCCTGACCTCAAGTGATCCACCTGCCTCAGCCTCCCAAAGTGCTGGGATTACAGGCGTGAGCCACCACACCTAGTCCACATGCTTCATTCCTAAGCAGCCACTGTGCCTGACACGGAGACCTAGCAGGTGTCTGTCATGCAGCCTCTGCCCTCATCGTCTATCATGTGTGTGGCTCTCTGTTGGTCCCCCATCAGATGACAGGGAGGGGACAGTAGGGCTCAGCCTGGGCTGCCTTCTGCTGGCCAGATCATTCATTAAGCTGTTCTCCTTTGAATCAATTTCCAAGGCCCCTGAGAGTCCTTCTTACTGCTGGAACATGTGTTGGGACCAGGATGGCTTGAGATATGATGGCCACTAACATGTACTGTCACTCATGGGACTGAGCTGAGACTGTGGGAATAACTGAATGGGTGGGAGAGTTTTTTGTTTGTTTTGTTTGTTTGAGACAGTCTTGCACGGTTGCCCAGGCCAATGTCAGCTCACTGCAACCTCTGCCTCCCGAGCTCAAGCAATTCTCCTGCCTCAGCCTCCCAAGTAGCTGGGATTACAGTCATCCACCACCACACCCAGCTAATTTTTGTATTTTTGGTAGAGACGGAGTTTCACCATGTTGGCCAGGCTGGTCTCAAACTCCTACCTCAAGTGATCCACTCACATCAGCCTCCCAAAGGGCTAAGATGACAGGTAGGAGCCACCAAGCTCGCCTGGGAGAGGTTTTTAGTAGGGCAATGGGGTGTTTGCAAATGAGAGCCCTCGGGAGTGGCGTGGTCAGGGAGATGGACAGGGACCCAGCCCAGGAGTAGGGACTGGATTTGGTGGGTCTCTGTCAGTTTCCAGGGGCATGGTTTGCATTGCACCTGCTCCAAGGCCCCGACCGCCCATCCCAGGATGGGCAGAGGAAAGAGTCACTCTCTCTGACACAGGCCCTGGGACTGGGGGTCTAAGGAGGGTCCTGGAAGCCAGGCCCCTTCACACTTGGCTGGGCACACACCTGTATGCCATATCCCCTCCACTTAGCCACGAGGCCCAACCCACAGATCCTGAGCTCTGCAGAGTCAGGATAAGGCACAGATCTGGAAGGGCTTTGGAAGCAAAAAGAAAAGCCTGGGCTGGACGCAGTGGCTCACGCCTGTAATCCCAGCACTTTGGAGGCCGAGGCAGGCGGATCACCTGAGGTCAGGAGTTCAAGACCAGCCTGGCCAACATGGTGAAACCCCATCTCTACGAAAAATACAAAAAAATTAGCCCGTCGGAGTGGCAGGCACCTGTAATTCCAGCTATCCTGGAGGCTGAGGCAGGAGAATTGCATGAATCCGGGAGGCAGAGGTTGCAGTGAGGCAAGGTCACTCCGTTGTACTCCAGCCTGGGCAGCAAGAGCAAAACTCCGTCAAAAAAAAAAAAAAAAAGAAGAAAAGCCTGGTTCACCTCCCAGCACTGCCACCTTCTTGCACTATTGCGTTAGCAAATCACTTCATTAATTTTATGAGCTTTGGTTTCCTCATCCATAAAATACCTACCAGACAGTGTTGGTGTCAGAACTGGAGGTGGTGTGATGAGCCCAGGACTGTGCCTGGCCTCAAGAAAATTGTTGGTTAAACAGAGGTGCAGCCCTTAGTTCAGGCAACTTTAGTTTTCTCCTCCGTTCCCTGTGGGCCTGGCTTCCTGATCACCCACCCACCGAGAGGCGTCCTCCCCAGCAAGGCCACTTCAAGGGGATCAGAAATATATCAAAACCATGGGGAAAGATTTGGTCAGGACCTCAGCTTGAAAAAAAAAAATGAAACAGGCCAGGCGCGGTGGCTCACGCCTGTAATCCCAGCACTTTGGGAGGCCGA